GTACTAAAATGTAAGTTCTAAGTATTTTTAATTGTAATAAATTTAAGAGCAAAACACAAATATGTCTTATCTTTTCAAGTACCCTCGTAACATCCGGAATTTTATTATTAAGATAATTAAATTTAATTATTTCCATGTGTGATAGAATTGTTGCTAATTTGTTGACAAATGTGTCATTATTGGAGTAATTTCTTCGCTAATTCACCTTCGAAACGATATCTTCCTGCTGGAGGGATGTCATTGACTAAATATAGCGCTCGTGGCAGACATCCCGCCACTTACGTCGCCTTCCTCTTCCCTTGTCAAATACGAACGATGACAAACATTATTGCTGATTACTTCAACAAGAGATAGCATTCTGAATACCATTTACAATCAGACAATCGTAAAAAGGAAACTGAACGACCAAGAAACCAAGCCTGTTTATATTTTTTATGATATGTAGTTTTTATATATATTGAAATAACTCAAAAAGTACTGGGCCGATTTTAAAAATTCTTCCACCGTTAGAAAGATAATTTTGTATAAATTAATAGATAATACGCGTAAATCGAATAACATTGGGGAAAAGTAGGTATCATTCTTAGAAACTATTGTCTACGTATGGCAGTAGGAAAAATCTAGTGCCACATTTCAAAACACTCACACCAACAAATGCCAGTGACCCAAAGGAGTAAAAAATTACGGACTATTTGGCTCGGTTCCTGCACACTTCTCGACTCATTTACACATTAACAAAAACATCGATACAATAAGTATCGTTAGTAAAGTTAACTGTGTACTCACCAATCTGACATAGACTGGAGACTGGGGCGCGGTACCGCGGCGGCACGTTGCTCTCGGGGCCCACGCGTAAGAACTGGAACTCCTCACTGGGATCAGCTACAAGCGACTCCATCTCCAACAACCGTTCGATTGATAACTCCTGGAATGATCATATTAACATTTACAATAACAATGTTAACAAATAACCAAGGAAAAGTCTCATAATGATCTAGCAAAGAGAAATTAATAGAAGAGTGTAAAATAACATAGTTTTTTTTTTACATAAAATTTGCGTCCACATAAAATTCAACTGTCGATTAAGATTCACTTAAGCACTAATGATTGAATTAACCTTTAAACAATTCTGTGTGTCCACTGAAAGACGTCATGCGAACATATTTACATATTATAAAAAAATGCGGAATCAACTATCAGATGATAAGGATATCATTTAAAAGTACGAAATTTTACATGTTTTAGATTCTAATGAAACAGACAGACCTAACGTGACAATTATTGATTTTGCTCGATCTTATTAGCACGTCAAATGATAATTGAAAATCAATAATATTCAGTACCAACTGTTGCCCGCGACATCGTCCGAGCAATATAAAGATTAAAAAAGTAGCCTTTGCCCGTCTATATCAGCTACCCTTCAGTGAAAGTCCGGTCGGTCTAGCCGTTTCGGAGATTACCCGAAGCGCGGCTTGCGTACAAAGACAGCCAAAAAAAAATGTGATGTTCGTTATCAACAACGCAAATACATCATCTTCTCGAAACCTCGTAATTTTCTTTTGCTATTACAAACAGACACTCCAATTTTATTACATGTATAGATTAGAAGATATTTAGGAGCTGACATATAATTTCGTTATGTAATACCGAACAGTAAATAAAGCAGGTAATTTAACCGCGGGATCATAGACGTCTGTAATAAGTTGTTAATCGCTTATAATTGCAATAAAACACAAAGAATAAGAGCGAGGCAGGTCGGGACAGCGAGGGCGACGACGACAGTCCGCATATTTCATGATGTCACCATTATTATTGTACTGCGACGTGGCCGTTATTGATTTAATTCGATCGGCGCTGCGATGTCGGTGCACTGCTCATAAAACACATCTTTACAATGTACGATAATAAAAGACAGCCCATACATACCGACACGATAAAAAGCCGTATTTATCAATTATAATTTATATGCATACGTGAATCAACATATAAAATGTAATCTACTTTTGTAAAGAAACTTCCATTCTCCTTTCATTATTTGTCTAAAATAAGCCGAAACCTGCTTGTTATAAACATGAATCACTCTGGTTACGATCATATTCTCTGTGCAAAAAGATTCTATCATACTAATAATACACATATCCCTAAAACGGCTTAACAGATCTCCATGAAATTTTTCGCTAAAGTAAATCAAAGTCTGGAGGAAGTCGCGTATTTTGAGTATTTTTTAAATTCCGCGCAAACGGCTTCGGGGTCAAAAGTTAATAGTATTAAAAAAACAGCCTAATAAATATACCGTGTTTTGATACATAAACTGTAATTATTTAAAAAACATTAGTTATTACATTTTAAGCCCTTAACAGTTTCTAAAAGGTTATCGAAATTAGAAGGCCATTTGAAGATTAGAAAATAATACAGTAAATATTATATTGAAATGTTATAAAATCACTAAATCAACACGCGAGGAAGGAAGCACATGCTAGTATAGAAATACATGGATTACCTAAGCACGAATAAAGTTATTTAAATATTCCGGAGCGAGGCGATATTCAAATCGCTAGTATCACGTGGCAGCCACATTATAATAATAGTTCGTATACTTCGTACCTACCAAAATGTTTTGTATACAGCCGAGGACATTTATTTCCTACCCATTTCGGTGAAACGTCATTTGTCACACACAATGCAATTACGGCGAAAAGTAACCATAAAATCATAAGATTGCGCAAAAATATAGCTCTTATGGTGACAATTTGCTGTACAATATTCGATCTTAAGTGGGAAGGGAATTTAATTCTTTGACTGTCCATGTGCGCAGTACCTTATGTTCGCAATCTGATAACGTTCGCCCTTGGACGATACAAACGTCCCAGGAAGTCACACCGCGAATAACAAAGGGTGCCACGAATCTAGAGAACATTGTCATTTTATAATATACGCGTGTTGATATAAAATTTCAATTTTTTCATTAAATGGTATTTATTGAAATATTTGTGACCAATGAATTGCGATACTCAGAGTCATTAAAGTTTATTAAGAGAAACCTCAGTGCACGTGACCAATAAACTGAGTGTAAAGTGAAAACTTGGGTTACGTATAGCAAATTGTTAAGACACATAACTTGCCATCTTTTGGTATAATCAATGTAAAGACAATATAAGTGTACTCGTTTTAGTACAAGTAAAGTATAGTCGTCTATCTGTGTGTGTGCGGGCACGGACAATAAACGTTTGAAAGCTCCGCACCGACTGCTCACAGTTAATTACCTGCGATACTTTTATTGGACGCTTTCGGTGTTTAATTAGCTGGAACTGGTCGTTTGAAGACGAACGACTCATAAATTTATTAATCAAAAGGAACGTCTAAATAAAACACTTTTATGTACTTATAGCGAAATGTTCACCGATCCGTTAAGATTCGAAAGAAATGTTCACATATTCTAACTTGAATTCTTCTGATATTTATTTATTAAAAAAATAATTTTAATATAGCAAGAAAATCTACAACAAAGGGCTACTTTGTATTTTTCATCCATATTCTCTTATGTTACTCAACCGACTCACAGCCGCTTTGATAACGGCTTTAATATTAAATTACAAATTACAGGACATCTACGACATATTGATGACTAACCTGTACAGAACTGCTCGGGTGTGCGTCCTCCGCCCCCCGAGCGGCACGTTGCCTCTCCTCCTGTACTGCTTCCCGCTTCATCCCGCACGCCAAACATTTCTGATAGCGGCAGAACTGGCAACGATTCCTTTGCCGTTTGTCGATAATACAATTTCTCTCTTCACGGCAAGCGTATGTCAGATCCTTCCGCACCGTCCGTTTGAAGAAACCTTTGCAACCTTCGCAACTGGAATTGCAAAAAAAAGCATTAACAACCATGATAATTTAAATGCGTCTACTAGCGCAATAACCGTTGTTAATAGGTCGCACAGGCAATCCTTTTAGGTAGAATTACTCTTACTAAATCTATATTAGGGGTTTGACAACTATGAGTACCACAGTAAGATTCATTTTTCTGCAATTAATGTCAACAAGGACTTACAGCAATGCCAAGTGTTGCTGTTCTCATAAAGCTCGTTAATAATTAATCTATTGCCGTTTAGTAAACACATTTACTTTGCAACTTCATCGATTAATTTGAAAGGAATTATTCACTATGTGTGATATTTTCAAAACCGTATCAAGATAACTTAAGAAACATAAAAGGAAAGATGTAAATCTACGATACGATACATTATTGGCACATTAAGTGGTTAAATGAATTTATGATATTCCTTCATACTTGCAGATTAAAGGTAAAGATATTATATTTGATATACTACAATTTTCTTGGTCATCGGTATACAAACAGGTTGAGAACAAGAATATTCTATAACCGCATTCGATTATGAGCGATAAATTGCAAAATTGATTTATAGTTTTATAGTCGGACCGGACACTCGTGCAAAACGAATCAATTTAACGTCGTTGTGATCTATTGGAGTGCCAGACGGTCTGAGGCGCGCGGACAAATCGATTCTCTCGTCGCCTCATTGTTTGGATATCAAATGTTTAAACAAATACCACACTCAATTCATACAAAAGCCGTGACAAAATATTTAAAATACAAAAAGGCATCATACATTTTACTATATCTTGCAGATATTTATTGAAAATGGTTGTTGCTAAAAATCAGGGTTAGGTGTTTGAATTTAATATTAATATTTTAAAATACTCTGGAATCAATGACCGACAAGATTAAGTTCAGAGGGTTATGAAATTAGCTAACCTTTAATTCCAATTTAAAACTAATTGCTTTAACGAAGATTTCCAACTGAAGAAGTTTTAATTAAAGCCACAGATTACTTAAATTCAAATTAACGAAACTGTTCGTGCTGTTACATTATTAAAATTTGTTATTTTGTTTGCTATTTAATCAACATGACCTTTCTATACCATGATATGGTTATTAGAAAAGTTAATATAAGAACTATAATTCTAATCCATAACTATTTTTTTAACTACAGAGGTACTCGAAGTTCTAGAAGTAACTATTGTAATACTTTGAAAGTCTGTTTCAAAGAAAGTTAGATTAAAGCAGCAATTTAAGCTCTACTAGCGCCCTGGGCGTAATTTCTGCGACGTCCTCGTTTTGACCGACTTCTCAAAACAAGGAGGTACTAATTCGTCTGTATGTTTTTTTTATATGTGTTACGGCATAACTCCGCCGCTAGTGTACCGATTTTGGTAATTCTCTTTCATCCGAAAGGTACTGCTTGCAGGTGGGTCCCATTTTTTTCTTTGATTTTTGGAGTCAAAAATTACGGCGTATTTAAATAGTTTAACTCAAAATCGTGTGACTAAATTTGGGGTCTTTTTTGCTTTCCTTGCTCACGTAGCCTAAACTATAACTTAAAAATACATAAAAATTGTGTATTTTTTATAGTAGAAAGGGGGATAAAGAGTGTTTTTTGGGAGTAATGCACACCTGTGCATCTTCTCGTCAAGCGCCCTGGGCGGGCGCTCTACCCTATCGTTGATACTGGATAAATACAACTCGTAGTGTAAAAGTTATACAAATTTGTAATTAAATATTATTTATGACTTATCAATTGATATACGTTTGAATTTGTTCATTAATGAGAACGTTGTTACTGATACAGGATATGAACAACCTTGAAATCGGTGACCGTTCGTTATTTAAATTACAATTGAATATTGACCATATTATCAATTCACCGCTTCCAACTAAGAGGATCTTATCTCGTACCGGAGAATTTAAATTGGCGAATCATGGCGAACGTTTGCATTGCTAAATATCTCGTGCGAAAATTCTCATATAATGACTATCAAAGTTATTGAAAGGTGCATCGAAGAACCATAAAATCAGGAAAATATAAAAAAAATGTTTTGAACATATAAATAAGTACAAAAAATTAATCAGTATTTGTTAAGGATTCATAATTATAATTATAAAAAAAAAAAACTTGAATTTTTATACCTACGACAAATGTTCGCTTGATTAATTGCTCGATATGTTGACAGTCTAACGAAGTTGACAAGTGTTATTGATTATTATAATGCATATCGAATCATGCTAATATTATAATTGCAAAAGTTAAGATGGATGGATGGATGTTTGTAGCCAAAACGGCTGAAAGGATTTCGATGAAATTTGGTATAGATGTTGAGGTTAGTCTGGAAGAACACATAGACTACTCACTTTCGTTTTTTTTTTTAATTCTACGCGGATGGAGTCGCGGGCGAAAGCTAGTAATATCATAAATAAACAATGATGATTTAAAAAGAAGTACATTGTGATGAAATAATTTATTTTATAAGAACATGACAAAAGATATATAACATGAAAGCAGAGAAAGTAATGAAAATGTATTTATAACAAATTTATGCGAGGGTTATTTTTGTAGCAGCATAAAGTGGTTGAGCGTTGTCTCTCCTAATATTGTATACCTGGCATCAACGCTAACGAAGCTCGTCAGCTAAAATAAAGACAGGCGTATGTATTTCGATAATAATTCATTCCCGACAACCATGATCCATTTTACCTGCCCTCACGTCCGCGTAAAATATTCTCAAGGTGAAAATAAAATGTCTTTTGCATGACATTACACGCGTCCGACGATCGATAGAATTGTAAATGTTCTTTTTTCATTTCAATAATGTATAATGTACGAATCGAATAAAAGTGGTATACTATAAGACATATTACGAACTTATTGTATTGTGTAGGAATTCAATAAATTATTTAAATTATAACTAACCAATTGTTTTATTTAACACGGCACTAGCTTAAATCGGTAGTACTAGTAGTGCTAGTTTACACATAAGCATCGTCTAGACGTAGTTCTATAGACGTAGTTGTTAAGCGTAAAAGTACTACATTTGTATGCAAACGCTCCTAGTCGTTATTTCAAAAGAAAACTTGTAAGATTAATAAAAAAACGGTATGAGCTACAAAGCTGGCAGCGAGATAAAAATGCCTACATGATTTTCTCTATCCAGTTACGTTTATTAATAACATCAATGGATAGCGTTACCATATTTACGCAACATTTACCCAGAGGGTGTGAGGTCTACTTCCAAAGATAGCAATGAAAGAGCACGATACTAAATTATACTTAGATTTAATCTATATCTATACTAATATAATAAAGCGTAAACACACACTTTGTGGCGTAAGATGGCAGCAATCACAGCATATTTTTGAATAATTCTTTCTTTAATAAAAAGACTTACGTCACGTTTTAAGCTATAAATTTTCACACTATTAAACTTAGAGGGTAAATAAATTGGATAAAAACCCTAATGTGGGAAAAGGACCATAGGCTACAAGCTGCCAACATCAAGGAAGTAAGATTGCCATGGTTTGTCATAAAGTCATATCATTTTCTTTCATCAATGTCTTTGCAATCTCTAATTTGACAAATGTAAACATTAAAAAAAATCATAAAGTTATGCAGATGAAGCCGCACGGTAACATCTAATTAAATATAATATTAATATCGTATATCAATGCGATAGATCGATTTTAATCTAAAACACAAAATAGTCTCTACATCTATAAGCATAACTTTAGATAACTTAAGTTAAGATAAGCTAAGATTTTTAAATATTTTCTCCACGGCAAGTATTATGAAATAATTATTTTCTGATGTGGACATATCTATATGTTTTTAGGATTTCGATACTTATCTATAAAAATATAATCATGTACTTATTTATAACCTTAATATGAGCTTTTCATAATAGAAATCACGTGGAGGAAATTTAGGTTATGGGCTACGTCATACGGGTAAAATATTTCTTGTGTTATTTTTAGACCTTTATAATGGTTTATTTTTGTCAAATATAATAATTTCTGAGATATACGAAAGTATTTAGTACCCTTTACCCTAAAAAGAATATAGATGGGTAACATTAGGTTTACTAAATTACTCGTACATTTTAAAACATTGTTATTACGCAGGCCAGACAGAAACTGATCGATGGTTAATCTGATTGTAAACAATTACGCTTCAAACGATGTTCAGAATTAATAGCTTATTCAAGAAAAACAACCCGCGGAGATTCGTTCGCGTAAAACATTCAATTTTCTACGCGATGAATAATTTAAGAAATTGCTTAAAAAATAGTCGATCGATTAAGAGATCTCGAACAACTTTTCTTAAGTTTTTAAGAGGTTTTCGCCTATTCCTAAATGAAAAGTTGGCGTAAACAAGTTTTTAGAAGCTAATCAGCTTAACCAAAAATACCTAATCATAAAATAATGATTAAATTTCTAACGACGAGATTGAATTCAATTTACATAAAACGAAAAGTTTAGTTTTTTAGGTACAGAAGCTAAACTAGTATTGGTCCTCTTTCTTACATTCTTAAAAAAAGAAATAGAATAAACAATTTCAGGTGTTTGTTTCCAGAAAAATGCTTTACTAAAATTTTCTTCAGCAGCTACAATGAATACATTTAAATTGTCACCTGTAGACTCCATAATGTTTGCCAGACGCGCGATCCCCGCAAATAGAGCAGAGGTGCTTTGAGCCGCTTAGGGGGTGGTTTGGGGGGTAATTGCGCAGCGTGGGAGGTGAGGTGGCGTCGTCACGCAGACCGTCCAGCATCGCTGTGTCCGGCTTCATCTCCGGCGGAGACATCGGCGACATGAACCCCGCCTCCAGATTCAGCCCTGCGGACAAAACTACGAGTTAGTATACGCCTACTTGAAACTGACGACTTGGTAACGATTTTACATTCCTTTTCAGTGAGACTGGCACAAAAAATTTCGTATCGACATCTACTATATTTCTATGAGATTTATCGATGTACTTTCAGCCCGAAGGGTCGCTACATAAATCTCAAATAAATGTTATTAATATCTTACGAATACCTTACTTCTAGCAAATTCTCGTGGTAGCAAGATTTCATGGTAGAAAATTATCTTTGTCTCAGTCAGCTATAGGTACGACAAAAATTATTTAGGTTTAATTTTATAATATAAAGTATTTAACTATTTTAAAACACACTTTAAATCAACTTGGTAACATTAAAATTATGTTGCTTAAATAATACTTACTAGATAAAGCTCTAAGCAACAAAATGCATTTGTTTATTTTTTAAAATTGTTTTAATTTACTGATTGTGAGGTGAAAAGGTCTGAACAATAAATGCAATATCACACAAGAACATAAAACATGTTGCACTTTACTACGAATGTCGTGCAAAAATAAGTTCTTATCATCGCCTTTGATAAGAAATATTCTTTTAAATTTATGATTCGCCTTAGTCAACAAGTTGCTGACGTCACAGCTTAATTGTCCATAGTTCAGAGTGAAATCTATAAAATCAATGATAAAAGCTTTTAAAATCGACCTAAAACAATAGAATGGTCGAGAGAAAGGATGGCGCTGATTCAAAGTTCATGATAAAAAATGAGTAACATAAAATATACTTTGTTATTTAAAATACTAATAAGTACCAAAGGATCATTAAATGTATTCGTTTAACATAGAAATTTAGAGGCAACGTAAATACACACCATTTAACGCCACCTAAAGTGCAACTTAGCAAACACAACTAAAAGCAGTGTTTTAAGTAAACAATTTATTAGAAAACCAACTTATAGTTTGGGAACCGCCATTTGTTCTTCGAACAATATTTTTGGAGCTGAATCACAAAAAACGCAGCGCACCAAAAGGGGGGAAAAGGAACAAAAACGTGGTCCGTCCTGCTACACGACCGGTCCATTAGGGAGGCGAGTTAGCTCAACAAACAGCTTCCATTCTTTCACAAAATTCAATCCTGCGAGTAATTCACTTTCGTCCATCTTTCGTTTTACATTTTAAAGTACTTAAATTTATTTAAGAAAAAAAATATATTTAAAACCGAAGCATGTTGAATCTTGTCATTATTGTGTAAATAACGTTACTAACTTATGTTTGCGTCAGTAGATCCAATTCGCTATAAACAATGTGGACCATCATACATTAATCAATTTTTGGACTAGCAAACAAGCTGACTGAATCTGCGTTCTTTATGGATATGACAACATCGCTTCTTATAAATCATACATATGAAACACATGTTGACGCCATTTTGAATGACATAACCAACGCAAAACGGTCGTAATAGCAGGTTTCACAAGAAAATGGAAATCAAATAGAAGTGTCTATTTCATAAAATATAATAATATTGAAAAGTAAATGGCAATAAGTAATATTGATGCGTTAGTAGCCTAGTTGAAGAGTACGGATTTCCGATTACGTAGCTCAGTTCGAAACCCACTATTTGACTATTGTCGTAAACCATATCCTAGCACGCGTCACAAGCCTATTTGATATGGTACAAGAGACATTATTAAAGTAACAAATATCTGCTAATATTTCATTTGAAAAATATTTTATTTCCATCGTTCCAGTAATTTAATAATTCTAAATAATGTTACGAAAGCATAATCAAAAGACTACAAAGGACTTCAAGCGTTCCCATTTCCAAGTAAAATATATTTAAGTCAAACATACGCCCACATCTAAGGGTGAGTAGCAAAGCGGAATAAATAACTTGTTTGCACGAGGCACGAGGAGTAGGAGAAATTTAATACGAAAAGCTGAATAACATTACGGGCAACAAGAACTGTATGAACATTAAAAGAGTCGTATATTTGCTCGTGTATTTGTTTAATCATAAATGGACACTACGGGGAATTATTGTAGATCAGTTTACACTTTATACGCCGTTTAAAACTGATAGAGCATTTATAAACTAGATCTACTCGCACAGACATACGCTCAGGGTATCAAGACGCTTCCATTCCAGGGTATTTAATCAATCACGTGATGTTTCTTATCGAATTTTTGACCCTCAATCCACCTTCTACACTTAAAATTAGGTGTATTTTTAGTAGGTATAAAGTATCACTGAAATTCGAAATAAAATTTAATTATACATTCAATTTAACGCGATTGATGAAACACAAAGTAAATACACGTAATGTTAACCAATTAACACAACATTAACTTGTAGCCCTACCACCTTACTAGTGTTTTTTTCGAAGTGGTTGGAGGCCCCTTTTATAACTCACGAGATAAATGGACGATTTCAAATGTCACTGTAATTCAACCTAAGACTACTGTCATGTGTGAAATTTCAACATTGGATCCATTCAAATGAAAATTTTCTCGTTACTTTCGATAAAGTAAAACCCTATAAATATATATTTACATGATGAATATGGTAAAATAAAATTAGTTCGTGTGTTACTGGATCGATGCGGCCCTGTCACAAAGATTAATCAATCACAAAGACGCGGTGGAGATGTTCTCTCGGCTGAACACGTCGCGTCTCGGCAAGAAGATATTCGCAAGAAAATAAATAAGGGTAATCTAAACTTGATTTCAATACAAAAATACAAATAATTTTGTATATACTTTGAATCGATCGAATTCGACTTTTGTAGTACTAATGATAGAATTTAAAATTCAGTATCACAAAAATCATCAATATCATGCCTGAGATAAGAAAACAATATCAATGATTTTAGTCTTCAAAATAGCTTTGTAATGCATAGTTCTGTATGACTAGTTTATCAGTCTGCCAATTAATGTGATTTCCTATTCATCCTACATTGTTTTTTGTTAACATTTGCAAAGTTGTCATTCTGTTTATCGAACTATGCATGAATTCTGCGAAGGATAAAGCAAGGAGGGGACTGTGATAAAAACAAGTCGAACGTTACGAGGAAAATAATCTTAATAACTGACTTAAATGAAATCAGGAGGGGAGCGAAAGGTTTCCATAGGATGTTTCTGCAAAAGAATATACGTATTCACAAAATGTTTTATGCATGACTGAGAAATCGGAATTTTCAACGATCCGCACAGGACGTCCTCGAGACGCTCAAAACTTGAAACTTGAGACGTTCTCGAATACTATAGTTCTTATAAACATTAATACTATGTAGAAGAAATATCTAAATATAAAATGTATCAGATTTTTTACACGTGTTTCGGCAGTGTAAACTGACGGTTATATGTTTTGAATGACGCGTTGATGTTTATGTATAATCAAATCGTGTATCGTGCCGGCCGGGTGCTGACGATAAGCCGTCGGACATAATTGTCGGAGTGCAATTTCGATTTAGTTATCTCGGTTGCGAGCCGCCGATAGTGTAATTATACTTTCTTTCCACGCCCGTCGACACCACAGCGCCGTGTAAAGACAGCCAATGCAAATCCCCACTTATTGCAGACAATTTCACGGCACGCATGACCTTAATGTTATAATCAATTCGAATTAATTGTCAGGTGAAGGTTAATAATAAAGAAACGCAATATGGTCCTTTGTTGTGTAATAAAATTTAAAGTAAAATGTCAGGGTATACAATAAGGATTTATGTTTTTGAGTAAAAATGGTGATAATACCTTAAAAATTATTTTTTCAAGAGCAGCTTAGTATACGTCTAGATCGTATGTTATACATTAAAGATATATGTCATACAATAAATTCAATATTTTTTTACCATAACATAAAGTGACTATTAATTTCATTTCATAGTGTTAAGGTGACAAAAACACATCCTGTGCATTTGTACAATTTCCTATCTCACTATTTACTTCTAGCGACAAATACATAAGGGCGTATTGGTTGATGCTAAGCTTACACGAGACATTATATTTCATTAAATATACAATACATATACCTATGTAAAAGATATGTTGTTTGCGAAAACGAAGAAGCCACACAAATACATTGTTATTCTAATTCATTCAAAAAGTCCTTTATCGGGACCTTAGAGGACTTTGAGGTTAATCTCTTTGTTGTAGAATCTATAGAAATGTATTGATATTACAGCGAATAAACTTCTAACAACTTTGTATTATAGGCAAATTATTTGTTCAAATATTTGATTACGAATCGCTTACGCGTGTAAGTTAAAGATGATTATTTAGGGTGAGTTGCATCAAATCGCTGGTTATCGTAAAAGTTATAATAGGGTTACAAGTGCAAAAACATATTCTCACAGAGGTTTTATGTGTTTTTCGTTTTTACAATGGAAACATTTAAACCTGAATGTCACTAAAGTGTCAAGTTGGTGTCAAGAATGACATTTACGTAAATTAAAATGTTTGGAAATTCATGTTTCGCCGATTATATTTATGTATCATACGCATGGTATTTTATAGTGAAATAAACTTTTTGCCCACGAAGATGGAGAAAATGGCAAACTCTTGTGAAAATAAACTAGTTTGGGCCATTATTGAAACTGTATTTACTTTACTACTCAAATATGTAGCAAAAATGAAGCAATAAAATTATACAAATATAAATGCATCTTATTTATTTTCCATATTATAAATTGTCCTGTCAATGCATATTATAAATTGACCTTTTATGGAGGACATTTTTTTAAATAAGAGAAAAGGGACAAGCGCTGTTGCTATGGCCTTAGACACTCGAAATTTGTCCAAACTGAATGTTTGGCCAAATTTCGAGTTCCATCTTGGAAATCCATTATTTCCGAGCACGCAAGACTTTATTCTTCTGGATTACGTATAGGATAATAGTAGATATCTTCTTTTTCCATTACTTTTTCCATTATTTGTGCTTTTGAAGATAAGAGCTTGTGACAGTTGACACTACCGAACTGACACTAACCGTAACGCTAACTATAACCGCCCAAAATCGGGCGGTTATGATTAGTGTCAAATATGACGTTATTTTGACCAGCGCAAAACTGGTGTAGCGAATATCATGAACATCCGAAGACGTAACCATCGGGAATGTGCTGGTTAAGGTTTATAGTTAGTTAATGTAACTCATCCTTAGTAAATTTTAAGATTATTACAAATATTACCATTTCAAATAATTTTAACTTTAACGGTAACCGGCGATATGGTGCAACTCACCCTTAAGGATTTAAATAGGTATTTTAATAAGGTATTAGAAGACCAATTAGTTATAGAACAGCGTAACAGTTTATTGGTTAAACATATCACTGTTATTACTTGAGTTCTTTTCCTAGTTTTACCGAATTCTCACTAACATAAACTGCTGAAACAGTTTGGTTGACTCCGTAAAAAGATAAGTGGGGATAGTGATTCTGTGCCTTATTTTGTTAAAATATGACAGTTACTATTTGATATTAATTTTATAATTACAAAGATTTACATCTTTATAATAAGGTTTTTCACTACAGAATAATAACTAATACTTTAGCAACAAGCAAGTTTGATTAGATAATTTTAATAAGACGCATTAGAAGATTGCAAGCCAGTCACGCGTGGAATATTCTTGTCAAAAGATTCTTATTACATGTCTTGTATCAAGCATACGGCTGATGTATCAAAGAGATATTTAAATTGTCCTTACTAACGTAATTACTTATTTGAATAAACATAAAAGTTATTACGACTCAGTAATGATATTTCGATTCAGATTGAAAACATTTCGATAATAATTTTCAATCATATCTTTGTCCAGATTAATGTGAAAGTCAAACGGATAACTTTGTATTACAAATTCTTTTACCTAAAGATAACACAACAAATGTACATGCTTATATTATTGATTACCGTATCATCGCGTATGACATAGATATTTAGGATAAGGAGGCATACAGGGGATACGTACAGCTGGTCTTTTGATTCAAAGCAAAATTTTCCATATAAATACGTCGACATTATGACGTAAACAACTTTCGAGTTCATTTTAAACATACTGTGGCGTTACTAGAAATTTACGTAGGCTCACCGCCTACGTCATCGATTGAGCGGAATCTGACAATCGATGAAAGTCGTCGTAACAACATGTTTGACGTTATTTACTCTTAAATTTCCACAGCAGAACCATGCAAAAACATTTTTTTCTAAGATATTGTTATGTGTAGTTTCCAACCCATGGTAGATTAGTTGTTCATAATCATAGTTGAAGGATCAATACATGATACGCAAGAAAATAAAACATGCGTCTTTCGTGGCAATTAATATGACGTCAGTAAAAAGACGACCGTTTTCTCTGGGAGTTTCATGACATAGTTTGTTTAGCAAAACAATTCAAATTACTTCGTGTAAGTTAAATTGCAATTAGGGAGAACACGCACTAAATAGAAATGTAATTTGTGATTACATATTCTACTTTGAGATTATACACACCATTAATGTCTTGTGAATATGGTTTACTGAGTTGAATAAAGCTAAGTAGGCTCGTGTAGGAAATTTGCCATCATTTACATGTCACTTTTACGTTCCAGAATCAATTTACCATACATTTTAAGAAATATTTACATATATGTGGGTTTTAGTCAAAATCGTTTACAAATATTTATTTTTCAAACTTAGGTATTATTATTTTACCTTTTATAAATTGACACGAAAAAAATAATAGTAATAAAGAAAATGGTGATAATAAGGTGAAACCGCTGCACGGTTTCCCCCTTTTGTTTTGTAAAAAAATGAGGATGATATTAAATGTAGATTCCTTTGTGTGTTGCAAATACTTATTCAGTTGTATGTGTTATACTTTGGTCGTGTGTAGATGATATTTACATTGCATTTCTTCATAGTCGACGTTGGGCAGTGTGGAGGGCGTCGGGAGCGGCTGCAGCATGGTGAGAGGCGCGGGCGCGGGCGAGGCGGGCGGCTGAGGGCCCGGCGGCGCCGGCCGCGCCCAGTTGATCAACGCCGTCACCGACATCGTCGGCTTGTCTTTCTTCGCCACCGACATGGCTACGCACTAACATCCTCACATCACTACAACGCGATGCGCGATTCAAGTATTTTCACGGCACCACTGTACACAAGATTCGTAAGACTCGTTGCGTTGGGTACGGTCACGATCAATTTGCGCCCCGGACGTGACGAGCTCGCGGACTGAGACGCAGTATTGAGACCGAGCGACCGATAACACCGTCAGCAAGCTCAGGCTGAGCTCGGAGGCAGTGACATTGCGGCGGCCAGTGGGCGGGTGCGCGGCGCGGCAGTAGCGCGGTGCAGTGGATAATGCGCCGCGCGCTGTCGTCTCGCAGCTTGCCCGCTGAATAATGCGCGCTTAAACTCAGCGAACTCGAAATTGACAAAAAAACATAGCCGTCGACTTCCGCGCGGTTACCGCCTCGAAGGTCTCGCCGGTCGTTCTCAAGGTCCGTATACAATCATACGTGAATAAATCTGATTTTAAGTCGGAAAACGAGTTGCTATAATCGATTTCATTTTTTGCTATTAAAGTAAGAAATAATGGAGATTCTGCGGGGTAATAATTTAGCTATTTTATGGTTTTATGATGGTATAGGATCCATCTAAATAATTGAAGTGTCGGCGGCTATCGGCTGGCGGCTGGCACGAGGCGTGCGGCCAACTTAACTGTGGAGCGTTGCCGTAATTAAGTTATACGTCACTCATAGCCGAAACCCCGCTCTAGCCTCTAAATTTTCGCAATGTCACTTAACACAATTCAGCTTTAATACGGTCTCGATCACTTTGATTGATTGAAAATGTTACCTTTAATAAAAAAGGTTCTTATTCAAAGTTGTTCAATTACAGGCGACGCAACATACGGTTAACAATACATATACTTTGTTTTTTTTTTTTTTTATAAAGTAGTTTTCCTTACTTCTTTTACCTAGTCTAAGTTAGATATTTTATTTTATTATATAAGATGATTTACGCTTTTGTCAAGATGACAGCATTAAATAAAGTTTGTAGGTAGGATTATTTAAAAAAATAAGCAATACTTGTAATGACAAAAGGCTGGTTATAACGTACATCTAACGGATAAAACAGTTATTGGAAATCGTCATATAAAAACATCGAATTTCATACGTACATTTTTTTAATTTCCATCATAATGTTCCCTCAATATCAAGCTCGTCAAACTTTAACATTAATTTAAAGTGCTCAGATGCTTGAACACTTTTAAATGCAATTAACAATTTAATAGCGCTATAACCTGGTGTTAACGGAGTTGCTTATAATACCTTTGAAACTTAAGGGTAAACAAAGGACATGGAACAGACGCGGCCACTCATGTACATTTTTATCTCAAAATAGCTGAAAATAGAGCCTTCAATATATGAAAATTAAAACACCAAAATACTATAGAAACATGTAACCCAAAACATGGCTGTATCAAGTTATCGGATCTGTGTAGTTTTATACGTTTTTTAGGAACACAAAATGTGGGGCGAACGAATTTGCGACAGATGGTTTACACTACACCGGTTGGTTGTGGGGTATAACAAGTCATTTGTTAAAAATATGCAAAATACCAGATCCTGCACACACCTGAAACATAACTATTCCTAGGAGTTTATATGGAGGTGCGCAGACTACTCGATTTTTAGTTGTGTAACTAAGCAATTGAATTGGCTACGAAAAAAACGACATTCTATAATGAGACAATTGCGATAGTTTCGTCAAAGGTAAAGGCCCGTCTTTAAATGGTATATAGAAACTTAATAAAAACGTTAAATTTAATTATCCCAACTTTCATTATCTCTTTAATTGCTACGTATAATAAAATAAGTTGAAAGTATTGTGCAATAACTGCGCAGTACTTCAAAGGAACGGCCCTCGTACATTGAGACAGATTGCGCACCGGTCCGCTTGCATTTCAAAACAATATACATCATGTATACCTACAATATGTATGTCCGGACTTAGCATTCTTTTGATATTACGTAAGTTTAGCCTTGGATTAAATTTAACATTACCGTAATAACGCGGTACATGATCAATATAAATAAGATGAATTAATCCTCATGAAATTGAGAAATAAAACATTAATTTTATTCTGCATAATGTACATAGAAATTCCAATATAATTAGGTAGTAGATATAAAATCGTAGAAGGGAAAACTATTTTACTACGAAATATCTGCTACTATATAATATCCAACAAGCAAACGAAAATGCAGAAAAATAACATCTTCATTAGGACAACACTGACTGAATGTGGTGTACCCCACACCGGTAGAGGTAGACGTAGAAAGAGATGGATGGATTGCGTGAAAGGTGACATGTAGGGAGTGATGACTGAGATGACAGTTGATAAGAGTTATTTATAGGACGAAAACTCGCTGCGACGACCCTACGGGCGTAGGATAAGGTAGGGGAGATGATGATGATGATGATTAGGACAACATTGATAAAAGACTGTAAAGGTTGTAACTACATGGTTTCTCGAATATTTACAAAACTTCTCTTTAAATTTAGTACACTAGTCTAATGTCTCATAGTCCTAGTTAATAAATGAAGAAAATTCCATAATCCCAGAATGAAGGAATATTTACTTTTCTTTGGTTATTATCAGGAAAATGGTAACATAATAAAAAGACATTAGAAGTAACGGACATTCATCAAATAAAACATTAGATAACAAAACAATTCTTTGCCGCCATTAGACGAGTGGACGAAAGGTCGGAAGCTTTTATTATAATGGCACTGATGGGCCACACAATAGGTATGTCGAACCGACAGTGACTAAGCATACACCGATCAACTAACTACCTACCAGCCAGTATTATTATCAACAAAGAAAACACATTAACGTATCGTAGGTATTTCGCAATGTTAATTCGCGATACAATAAAGTAATAGGACGACTTAATTAAAATAATACCCAACCGCGCTAAAGCAAACAAAAGAAGCAAAATAAAACGTATCAATTACAATAAGTAATAAACCGAGTTAGATTCTTAGAAGCTATTGGCTGTTGAGATTTTTAGCAACCATGTTAAAGGAAACAATCATTTTATTTTCTTATATCTATCTTATCAAACGAAACAAAGACAAGGTTGGGAAAATTGTTAAAAACATAAACCAGAAGAGTGAGACGCTCGCGACCAAAAGAATTCCCTCACTTTCTTTCACTTTCGTCTGTGCAGCGCAGTGTGTGTCGATGCATGGTTGCATACGTGCAGCGGCAGGCGCGCCCCGCCCTCCGCCGCCGCCCCGCGCACGCCGCGCCGCTATCGATCCGCGCCGACCTTGACTTGACGCACGCCCGCCACTTACAATTAATATTGACAATAGCGAATAGCGACGCTCGCGCACTATCCCGACTCACTTTTACTTACTTTCATTTTCGTTCCGCTAGTTTGGAAACCATAACCTGAATTATTCTTCCTATCAAAGCAAATTTTAATGATGGCGTCTTCGATCGCTGTTTACGATATTTTGGGAGAAGGTACCTCATATAATTAAACTAAGATCACGAAACGATAAGAAAAAACTATACAATCGAGCAAGTTCTTTTATTGTTTACGACGTAATACTGTGGTGACAATAATTTTAGTGAAGTGCTAAAGTATAGCAGCACCGTCAGACGTGCGTCCTAGACATGACCCGGGGACGGGGGCAAGCGGGGCGGGAATGAGGCGCAGTGAGTCAGGCGAGGGGGCGGGGGCAGGGCGGGGGCGCCGCGTGCACTCGCCGCGAGATATAGGTAAACGGAACGCGGAGGAGCGCGCCGCGGGCCGCGGGGGCCTGCTCTGCGACCTTGGCGATTCTCTGACGACTACAGGTGGTTTTTGTTTGCACTCGGCTAATACGAGATCTCGCCGCGATTCCCGCCGGTCACTCCGCAACGATCTCGTCCTCGGACATCGGACGACCGACGTGGAGGGGGGGGAACAACCGGAACTTGAATCGAAACAATGCTCCTTCCATTTTGAACACAAAGGACGAACGCATTATAGTCACGTCTGCACGTCAAACATCTAAATTGCCAAACAACCACTTCGGTTTTTATATTCTTACCTACCACCAACAACGTAGTTAGTAGTATCGATACTATTAGACTGGATCTATAGATAAATCAAATAGGTTTATATTTTCCATGCAGATTCAGTATTAATACTAAAGTAACATGATATATAAGTAAATGACATCAAGATTTATTAACAGTATCATGGACGACTCTACGAAAACTAATTCACGAGAGACTGAGTGGCAATTAATTATTCCAATGTAAGAGATGGTAGAAAATTACTAAACCAAGTACAAAATTAATTCGGTAAATGATAAATTTATGGAGACATAAAACGCGAATCTGAGCGTAAAGTTTTATCACAATAAAACGTATGGTAGCCTGCCTATGTAGGCGAACTATGAGAGCACAAACAAAACGCGTATTTTATCATTTAGCAGTATTACATAATGGCGAGCGCAGTGTGTCGGCGAGAGACCTTGGCCGTGACCACGCCGAAGAGAAACACTTCCCGAGGCGTGACGCCGCCGCCCCCGCGCCTCGCATACCCCGCCCGCGCCTAGGAACGCCACCGCGCCGCTCCGACAATTACACGCTATTATTGATGTATCAACCGGTTAATGGAATTGAAAGTCGAAAAATTATTAAACCAGTTATTAAAATTGACAACTATTCGGATTTTACGACCAAAAAATCAGTCGTTTTGCCGGCTTTTGATCAATTTTTTCATAGGGAAAAAATAAAATCGCTATGGTTTTTGAAAACGTACGAATTAAGCGCTTATTCGTAGCTTGTAATGTTTTATTGTAATTTTAGTCAAAGTGTACAACATTAGAGTAATACAGTTTGACTATAATAAGTGTTGTTCAAAAAGTAAATCAAGCAATTAGAATTCAAAAAGTGAACTAGCACGAGGGCGGCAATGAATTCAAATAAACTCGAAGGCCTTGACAGTGATACGATCTTCTCGGATGGCTTGCTCAAATAATGAAATCATGTGCGCGCACTTGTTTTCGAATTAGAATCTATTTGGAATAGACATAATTAGATGATATTAAATTAATTTGTCTACATTTGATGGACTAAAAAAAACAAAAGTTTATTTTTAAAATATTATGAAGACAAGACGGCTTGTGTGTAGTTAGCTCGAGCCATGAGTGTAATTATTTTCGACCTACTGACAAATCGTATTTGCGAAATTCCACGTGCACAAGTTTATATTTGTGTGCATTTAAAACATTGGAACATAATGACACCTAGATAAACATAAAAAAAACATCTTTATCAACATTAAGATTGTAAAAAACAAGTGAAAGGTATCAAGGTTGAATGATGCCTTATCACTTAATTTTTTTGAAAGGTCAAATTAACTGATTTTTTTAGTTTTGTACGTATTAAGTATTAAGATCAAAATGTAGCTTATCAAGTAAAAAAAATTAACATCTTATCTTTGTATTCATAAAAATTGTAATCATATTCTAAAAATACATTCCATGCCCATATCGAACAACCAGAGACCGTATCGTTATCGAAAAAACCAAAACTAACAAAAAATCTACATTCGGTATATTCCGAATTTCTTCTCGAAGGACGCAAGTAAACTCAAACAATACACAATGCTATTGTATTGAAATTAAAATGTTTTTGTTTATTACAGTTTGCAAATTTGTCGATATTCGGAGTCTGCTTTGGCACGCTTTCGGCAATCGGTTACATCACCCTGACGTCAAACTATCAGAAGAGGAAACTTCTCTGTTATCGCAATAAAAAACATGTAAATGTATAGATAGATGCAAATGCAGTAGACTAGGACATCTAGATAAAAGTTATTCAGTACATTGAAGTCAATACACTTGCAACCTTGCAATGCTCTTTACGACTCGTGTCAGATAAAGACATAGGGCATAAAAACATAACAACTTCATAAGTGCGCAGAAGCAAAATACGAAGGGTCTTTCGGTGTAATTCCCTGTCCGGTCTCATGACAATAAGTCACCGATAACAAAACAAACAATTTACAATTTACTACCCCAAAATCAAAAAATAGAATAAATAAAAAACTATAATCTTATGTTCATGATGTTTTAAAGATATCCACAAAACTGATACTTACCCAAATATAGACATTGAAATGACAAGAATTGGTATTATGTTATTTCAAGTAGTAAAATCAGTTTGTATTGTGTTTATAATTTAGATTTTATTGCGCGACATCTAATTTTTAAAATATTTAATAAATAGGTAAAACTTGGAACAGTTTCCAGAAATCGTCCGTAATATAGATGCCTAATTTTGTTTGTACGACATATATTTTTTAATCATAAAAGCAGATCTCCGTGGCGTACTATGATCGTCAATTCCTGCAGCATCCAGTAAAAAGAGTCCGGGGCGCAAAGCAATCGTCGTGACGTCACTCATCATAAATTATGTTTAACAAATTACAATGTATGATCGTGTCGAATGCAGGTTGCGGATCGTGCATCGATTTTCGAGACCGCCGCGGGCGACGACGAACACGCGACGTCAGCGAGCGACGTCGCTGCTACGACTGGCGCGCCGCGCCGCCACCACCTCGTCCCTCCCCGCGCAGTCAGTTTGTTTTGCTGTATTTTCGTTGTTAATCATTCTCCTTGACCTTGTGCGACGTCGAGTGGTCCACTGCACACGACTGCGCCCCCCACACCCACCTCTCCGCGTGCCCAACCGCCGGGCCCGATGCATCGCACGTGCTAATTCCCAAATTGCATTCATTGCCACTAACATCATCGTATCTTGCATCGTGGCCTCTAAGAAACGCCTTTTTGAACATTACAATAAAAGTGGCAAGGATTTGTTGTATTTGCAGCTAGTAAAACGAATTCACCACAAAGTTCTAAGCCAGTGGCGCACATTTATGTATCAAAGTGCCATTTTTTTTTAAATGTTTAACGCAGTCTTGGACGTGCCATCGAATAATTTTGACTGCGATTCCATGGTGCACCTACTACATAATTCTCGTAGTGTTTTTATGATTATCGACGTCCCCAAAATATTATGTCGTGTGCCATTTATGGCACGCTTTCCAGTGGTTTACCACTCCTGTTCTAGGCATTACTTTAAAACATTCATATTAATAGAAAACTTAGGTACATTTACTTTAAAACGAAGGAAATGAGCAGAGAGATAATATTTTATTTAGGAAGAAGTCAATACAGCTTGGCAATCTAATATTAAATAAGTATAAGAACGGTAAAGGATTGATAAATTGTTTGGCATATGGTCCAGAATCAATCTTAGGAATTTAAAAGAGATCTATTTGTGTGCTATTAAAAAAAAATGTGCAAAATGCTTATTACTAAATTTTCTTGAGAAAACTTTAAACAAACGCCATCTACATGACGCGAGTAAACCTATATGAGAAAACGCCATCTATGTGATAACAATAAAATTAGTGTGACAACAGGCTTCTACAATTCAAATCCAATTTGAAATGTTTTACTTATAGGGAGTGGGCAGCAATATTAAAAGTATATTGAATGGAAATTAAAAATAATTAAAAACACTTACTTTAATTTAAGATATTAACAGTGACTAGCTTTAACTACAATATCACATTTATTATTTAACAGTTGAGACCTAGAGAATCTTTTAAAAATGCCAAAATTAAAAACATAGTTACAATTTCAGTCAGTTTTAATTTAGTTGGCTTTATACAATTATCTAATTTGTATGTAAGACATTTATAAAGTTTTACTTATTTAACATTTTCATAGTTTTAAAGAAAATTCAAATGAACACTTGGAAATAGACAATATCTGAAATACTATAAACATTTATATTATTATAATTTATAATTACTTTACAAACTATGTTATTCCATCAAATCATTTCATTACATACTTATCCAACTATTAGTACTGTCTTGTACCATAATGTTATGAACAACATTTTTTTTATGAATTAAGGATATAAAAATTAATGGTGTTTAAATATATTTATTAAATTAAATTAATATGCCACGATATATTGTATTACTAGCAATAGAACTAGAATAAAAAAAAAAACTAATTCACCAAAACCTTCTGTTTCTATAATAAAAGAAAATAGTAATTTGCTATCAAAAAGCATTATTTTTAATTGTTTATATTATGAGATATAAAGGAAGAATTAGAATTGCAGTCATAGAGCAGAAGTTATTAGGACTTGGTCTTCATCATTATCTTATAGGACAATAAAAGTAAACTTGCCTGTATCTCTAGAGGGCTCCATCCTCAGCAGCAATTTATTTATCGCCTACAATACCACTTTCATATATTAGTTCAGTCACAACGATGAACCTGTCAGTAACAAGGTCGTTGAACTAAATATACCTACAAATGCAATTATATCCACACTTATAACCAAAAACCATAAAGATTCTATGAAAAACACTTGTTTTATAAAACTAGGTACACTAAACTAGAATTACAATAACAATAGATTAAGTTAATGAACACAATATTTTAAACTTAAAAAGAATCTATTTCCTTTTCCTCACACAAGTGACAAAACCAAAAACATATAGCGTCACGTCATCCAAACGTCACTGTGCTTGTTATTTGTTTGCGTATAGACTAAAGACCGTACCACCAAATATTCAAAATTAAAATTATAAATCTTTGTGGAATTTCCGAAAAAAAAGTAAACGTCACTTTCACTTTTCCGAAATACAAATATTTAACAAAAGCCTAAGAGAAAATAGATACTAAATAGGTACGAATCAGTAATTTTAAGGTTTTAAGTTGAAGGAAACACTGAAAATCTTGCCAGGTACCGTTTTTTTTCCTAAAAAATCAGGTCAAGAACATTCTCATTGGGAAAATATATATTAATATATTCGTATTCGTTAAAAGTCGTTGAAAATTATTTTGAAGTTAATATATCATAAGGTATTTTTCACTTTTATAATTCCAGGCGTCATACAGAAAGCCGGATAGTATCGAGATAAAAATGTGACTACTATAAGGTATTGGTATCATTCCATTATTGAGTGGCAGTGTAAAGCTTAGTGTTACAAGAAGTAGTTTTGGGCTTAATCGGACATCTGCAGGTGCTCACCGTACTAGTCCAATTGGGAAAACGTACTAGTACCCAATTTTAGTACCTATAGTACTATAGGATCAGATTTGTGAGAACACAAAAACATGAATAGAATATAACAAGATCTATAGATTACTTCACATCAAATTTTAAGCATGGTCTTAGCGAAAATAACTTTAAGTTATAAACAATTTTATCCACTTTTGATTCTCGTTACCAAAGGTGTATGCTTCAATCTGGCAAATATTCAATCAAATCAAACAACGAAGAGGCGAACACCGATATCGTGTAGTGTATTAAAAGTGCCAAATGTCGGATTAACAGAAGCCGTTCGGTAACGTTACTTTTAGTACAGTGTCGAGGTAACATTAATCTTAGTAAATCGTACGTGTACAACCCAAGACTAACAAAAAGGCATTAGTTAGATTATGTGAACATTTTGTGGATTATTTTTATATCAATTGGCAAACTTAAACAATTTAGTAGGCAACCCAAAAACATGTTTACGTAGGGAACGCCGCCATCGTATAAATAGAATGAATTTTGTGATAACTGTCAGTATCCCATTAAGTTACAAATTATATGTCCATTTCATAGCTTTAAGATTTCTGAAATCATAGTATTAGTTTATTTTATTTTGTTCTCAGTGTTTTAAGAAACCTAGCGTAGTGTAACAAGGATTACAGAGTAACATTTTAACTATATTTCGTGTCAGTAAATAAGGAAGATATGGAAAATAAACGTGATTTTAATTATCCTCATACGTTTATTTTACTAGGAGCATCGGGAGATTTAGCTAAGAAGAAGATTTATCCTACAATATGGTATTTATATAGAGATAATCTCTTACCGAAAAGTACCAAATTTGTAGGTTATGCCAGAACCAAGCAAACGTTAGAAGATGTACGAGAAAAGTGCAAGAAATACATGAAAGTGCGGCAAGGAGAGGAAGAAAAGTTCGAAGCATTTTGGGAAGCCAATTCTTATGTGTCAGGATCTTATGACAAACGAGTGGATTACGAATTTCTTAATCAACATATAAACAGATTTGAAAAAGGTCCTGTTGCAAATAGAATTTTCTACTTGGCTGTACCTCCTACAGTATTTGAAGAAGTAACGGTTAACATCAGAAATGCATGCCATGCTATAAAAGGATTTACTAGAGTTATCATAGAGAAGCCCTTTGGCAGAGATGATGAGACTTCTGAGAAATTGAGTAACCATTTGGCTGGATTGTTTAAAGAAGAACAAATTTACAGAATCGATCATTACTTGGGAAAAGAGATGGTACAAAATTTGATGACAATAAGATTTGCAAACCAAATATTCAATCCTTCGTGGAATAGAGAGAATATTGCATCTGTTCTTATATCATTCAAAGAACCATTTGGATCAGAAGGTCGTGGAGGCTATTTCGATAACTTTGGAATTGTCCGTGATGTGATGCAAAACCATCTTCTTCAAATATTGTCTTTAGTTGCTATGGAAAAGCCAGTAACGATGCACCCAAATGATATCCGAGATGAGAAAGTTAAGGTATTAAGACACATTCCGCCCATAAAATTAAGTGATATTTTGATTGGACAGTATGTTGGGAATCCCAATGGACAAGGGGATGAAAAGCTAGGCTATCTGGATGATCCTACTGTACCAAAAGGTTCAGTCACACCTACATATGCATTAGCAGTTATGTGGATTAATAATACAAGATGGCAAGGAGTTCCATTTATTCTACGCTGCGGCAAGGCCCTCAATGAAAGGAAAGCGGAAGTGCGAGTACAATATAAAGATGTACCTGGAGACATTTTTGGTCACGCAAAACGGAATGAACTGGTTATAAGAGTTCAGCCAGGGGAAGCTTTGTATTTAAAACTTATGTGTAAATCACCTGGAATGAAGTTTGATTTGACTGAAACGGAGCTTGATTTAACATACAGTCTACGTTACAGAGGAGCAGATGTACCAGATGCATATGAAAGATTGATATTAGATGTGTTCACAGGAACTCAAATGCATTTTGTTCGTAATGATGAATTGAAAGAGGCTTGGCGTATTTTTACTCCGGTCCTTAAGAACTTGGAGGAGCATCTTGTGAAACCGATTCCTTACATATATGGATCAAGAGGGCCTTCTGAAGCTGATGCTAAATTAGCCGAAAATGATTTCAAGTATTCAGGCTCTTACAAATGGGAGAAACCCACACTGGAATGATTTCAAGTGGGACCAAAATGGTGATGGTATTTATAAATTCCTATTTTTATATCTTTGACAATATGCTTGCACAATAATATTAGTTTTAAGTAACTTTATAGACTTTTTTGAATCTTGCATTCCATTTTACTTGTTATGAATGTGTGGTAGAGGTCATTTAAAGGTTATTACAATGTTACAGTGTCTATACTTATTACTGTAATGTAGTCTTATATAATATGACAATGTTATTTTATCAATAAATTTTATAATCTGTGAAATTTCATGAATATCATCACAATTTTCCATAGCTAAGGATATAATCACTCAGTGTGATTATGCATAGGTCATGTTTATCACCTTCACATGTAAATGAAGTGTTTTAATTTACAGTTCCTTATCATTTTAAAGTAGCTTTGTGAATGCAGGAAGAAAGTTTACATTACAATTCAATAAAATACATTTATATCCTATTAAAACAAATAGTTTTCATATCTGTAAGTGGAAAATTGAAGTATAGGTTATCAAATAAGTTGCTTTTCCATGTATTTTAATACTATATGTGATATTATTAATGAAAATTGTTAATATTTGATATTTTTCTATAAAACTATTTTAATATGAATATTTTTCAAAGTAGTTGTTTTTGTAAAAAAAAAAAAATTGTTAAATCTTTTTAAAAATCACTATTTCTAAATACATTGAGTAATTTTAATTGTCTTTTAAAATATACAATTCAGTAAAAATCCATAAATACATGTTTTATCTTTTATTTTTGGAATTAAAGTGTTGTGATTGAATTTATCAACTGATTTTATTATTATGAAGGCATGGTATATGGAAAAGGCCATAAAATGGTTATTTTTTGATGGATTTACACTATTTCGTACAATAAAAGAACTTAAACACAAATGTATTTAATTTTCGTACTATCTTAAAAAAATCTGTTATCTGTACTCCCATATTTATAAATAACTTTATAGTTTAACACTATATATGTGTAACCATTATAAGAAACAAAAAAATAATTCTGCACTTGCTTCCATCAGTTCTGACGTCATTTGCAGGTGACAATGGACGGAACAACGACGTGGCCTTCATTTTTCGTGTAAAGAACTCATCAGACCTAAGTAGTATTTTTTTTTAATTCCAGCTTATTGACCTAGTCGTAAACCCGTTTAAAAATGTACCTTATACCTTTGATCAAGACTTTACTCCTAAATAATCATACCAGATAAATTTTTAACATTGCATAATGACCTACAAAATATACAATCTATGACGTCATAGTACTTATAACTCGTGTCATTGTCCATGAGTAGTAAAAGTAATACTTTGCACTTACATTTATTTCTATAACGTAACTACTACATGAACTTGAAATACTTATCTTACTGCTATTTTAAAACAAATTAATATAAATGTCAAATTATTACTATAATCAAAATTGTTATAGAGACAATCTGTGAATAATTGATGTAAACGTAATTGATCGATATTATTTTTAGTGAATTTTAACAACATTTGAGCCTTACCAAGATTAATTAAATACATATTTAATTATGTATTGATTATAATGCAAACGATAGCGGACGAGACTATACTGACGTTGCTTTGGTTATCAGTTAACGTAACGACTTTATAGCACGGCTACATGAATATTTAATTTCAATAGCAATTTTAGTACAACAAGGCAAACAGTCAAAGGCAGTTGAATAAAATAATTAATGTTTTACAAGCGAACCAATCTAAACCTCAGAATAAGGGTGATAAAATAATTTGTTTTAAGCATATGTATATTGAAAAATTGATAAGTATTTGAAAACTAATATTGTTAACCTTTGAACTCTTGATAAAAATTCTGAACTCTGTATCGTTTTCTACGTAGGGGGCCATAAAAACTTCTGGTAGAGTTGGAAAGTGTACATGTATATATATTAAGGGGTATCTATATATGGGCAAATAACAAACATTCAAGAACATTTACGATAATTTTATTTATTTGTTTGCTTATAAACCATTCAAATAATACATGCATGCATCATGCCTTAATGAGCCCAGAAGTTTATTGGAATCTGTATTGTGAGCTCAAACTATCTATTAAAATGTTCACTCAGAAGTGCAAAAATGTATTGATATATTTTTCCGATATCTCCATAAAGGATAAAAAACGTATTTTAACTTAATATGAAATAGAAAAAAGCGCCATCTTTTAAGTAAAATCAAATAGGTTAATTTTAAAGTCTTCAACTGGATATAGGGTTGAACTACGGATATGGATAAATAAAGCCACCAACGTATGATAGCAAGTGTGTACTTATGTCTTTTTTTAGTATACAAAATTAAATGTTCTCTATTAGTACAATCCCTCTGGTATCGCGGGTCTCCATGGGCGTCGATGAACTTTATAGTATTCCCAGCCACCGCGGCACTCGTTTACTTACTTTACTTAATTACTTATCATGTAAAAAAAAATATGTATCTAACTCCATCTCTATGTTAACCGCTTAAATTAATTCGACGTGTAGACATAAGTGTTTATGGCAATAATAAAAAAAGTAGGGGGGGGTTTAGAACGACTCGCACTTATCTTTTAAATAAGTAGGTAATACGAAAACTATTCTTCGTAATTGCAAAAAGAACTAAGAAAAGTAAATAAAATGATTTCAGTGGGTATAAATATTATAACCGAGAATGGCAACATAACTTTTCTGTCAGCTGAGTTTCGTTTACGATCTCCTGTACGTCAGTTTACGTCAATAGAGTAATGGTGGTGTTGACCTGGAGAATTTTATAAGCTTTTGTTCAGTGTAGTTGTCGCTTATTTTTATCCTATATTCTTACACAATTGCATTTTAAAAATTTATGTGTTATCGTATAATTATGTGTTAAACTGGAAAATATCCTAAAGGATTCTCAAATGATTCCTAATTTTTGTTTGTGTAAGTATCTTTGTTGTTCAAACGCAAAAAACAACACGTTCCATTTTGATGGTCGCGAGCTACAAATTATATATTTTATTTTTGATCGTAGTTATGTTAAGATCATAATATGACAAAATTTTAACTTAACATGGTAATCGATATCTTATATATTTTCTGTTATGTTTGTTTTGTATGGTTGTGTTATCGAAATGTTTAACTCTGGTAATGTTTTTTAAATAGAGGTTTTCTTTATTTTTTATACTTCTACGCAAAATATGAATTTAGAACGTTCTGTTTTATTACTTATATAACAAGCATAAATTTGTAATAAATCAGTTATTATTTGAGGTCACTATGATAAAGAGTAAACACGATTATTTAAGGTAAAATGTCGCAGTTTATCACTTAGTAATATTTTTGCGACACTTAGAATATGCAGCTTTTAATGCTTTGTTTTCCAACAATCTTATATTATTAAGTAGAGTAATATTAAATTTAGCAATATTTACATTTTTGTACCAAGGTTATAATCATTAGTTAATCATTACAATGACAAATATATTGTGTTAATATTATATATCTTTTGAATAATTAATTAATTTCTTTCAGGTTTGTTTAGTTGTCATTAGGATATTAAACTGGTATTCCAGTACCATGAAGATATATTAGATATTGTTCATGTTTAGTTTTAAATTAAACTATCAAAATGCTTTATGTGTTCCATGTGGACGCTGGTCAAATGACCACATATGACATGAACCTAACCTTGCAGAGGTAGGTACAAGACTTAAAACTTTTTAAAATTAAAATACTTTGAAATTCTCTACTTGTACACTGATCTTTATTAATGGATATGTCATTGTTTGGACATGACAGCTTTTTCTTTGTAAAGATTTAAACACACCCATCACAATTCCCCTGAATCGACACTGCTGTTATTAACTGTTACCATTTGTGCCAAAAGGGTAAAAATCATAATAAGCACTATACCATAGTTTATAGCCTGACCATTTAAAGAGGTCAGTTATACTTATAGTATAAGGGAAGGCCTGCCTCCAGCAGTTGGTTGATAATGGTTGCTTATGAATCTATATTAAAAATGTTTATGTGACTTATGTTAAGGAAAATCCCCGGCTTTTCAATGTTTATTATGTTTAAATTAATAAACATCTATACATAACTAAATTTTTTCTTGCAGTGTGGCTAATTTAAAACTTGCTATAGAGAGGAAAATCAAAGTTCCAGCAAATTCTCTTGTCCTCCTTGTGAGTGGAGGCGAGGTGTTACAATCAGATCACATAGTGTCATCATACAGTGCTGGCACTGACACTAATCCTATATACATGTTCAGCAAACCATCAGTAAAGGATAGTCGGCTGAAACAGTCCCGTAAGTTTTATTATTATAACTCACAGATTTAACTATTGCATTATTATTTTTTTACTACTACACTATATAATATTACACAACTCTGAATCTCTGAAATAAACATATAATTTGTAACAATAATAATATTTTTAGTTGTGGGTGATCTCAGTCCAATCGTAGAATTGAGTACAGGAGCGTTCCGTAGTGAGAGTCGTAGTGCTTTCGAAGGCAAATCAATTGTTGACTTGAGGAGTTCAGTGGAGATTTGCTGTTCGTTACCAGCTACTGTCCACACGGTTATATCATGTGCAACATTAGCACAACAGTTTAGTGACCTTGCTCATGAAGTGTCCAGGAGTTGTGACCAGCTTGTTCTGGAACAGCATTTGCAGCATCAGGTATTTTAAATATGTTAATTAAATATACTTCATGTTAAGCCTTTGGTTTCATATTTGTCTTGAAGTTAATAAAAAGACTGTTTTAGTAGAGTTTAGCAGATCTATTTCATATGTGATTTACCAAATAAAATATTTGATTATTAGTGGTGCTTATTCATTATAGAATCTAAATTAATAATAGTAGCTTTTTTATTAATTTCCTTCAAATTCATACAGGGTTGGGCAGCAGTTGTTGCTAACCTAGAAGATATCTACAGTGAATTTTGTGAACGGTCAAAGAGTTTCAAAGAATCATTTCGGAAACATCGTCTAAAAAAGGAAGAATATCATGATATGTTAAATACGTAAGTATGAAATTACATGTTTTGTTGTGCTGAATGTATTTAAAAGTTTTTGTTTTTATAATCTTAGATTTTTAATCTTCAACTTGACTTTGACTTCTATCATATCTATTTTTACTTTACAATGGTTAATTTTATTTCCCAAGTTATTTTCAAAAGGAATCTATTTTCATGTATTTGGGTTAAAAAAAAAAAATTGGTTTCAATAAATTAAATCAATTACAACGCAAAGCACAAAATGTACAATGTCCCCTCGCTTAACCCTGGCCTTAGTAATAAACTGGTTCACCTTTGTTTTACTAAAAATTTATGTTAATGAATATTACGTGTAGCATTTACTTTATTCTTTTTGTTCGCTTAACAATTGTTTTCAATTCAATATATATGTTTAATCATTTTTAAAAATAACATCATTGTTTTATAGACTCAATGACGTATTAAAAAGTTTAAAGAAGATCCCAATCCTCCCTGCGCTTCAATTACACGCGGAAGCGCATCGGTTCTCAGCATTCGATGTGTTCGAGGAGACAGACTTCGAGGGGCATCATTACAGAATCAATCAACCTTTAGACAACAGTTCGGAGAACAGAGCGTATCAAGATTTCGGTGTTGAAGCGTTCAAATTGTCTGAAGAAGATGGTAAAGTATAATTTTTTTCTTTCAAATACTTATGAAATAAAATATGACACCAACTGCACATTTGTTAACTTATAGTTTCTTTAGGCGGTCCTTAGAGACTATTTGATTGGTTTTCTATAAATCTATTTTACTAACTGACCTTGTCAAACGATGTTGCATCTATTTACATTTTTATTGTACCTTGATGATTGTTTCTGTGTACTTTTTGGAAGGATTCCAAATTCAGTTTCGCTATCTTTCATCTCAATATCACGTATGGAATCTTCCTACATCACATTGACAATTAGAATTTGTTTTAATTGTGTTATCTTAGTTGCCTATAACTCTTGATAATTTTGACTACTTCCCACCTCTACAATTTTTTGAATCCAAAATTATATTCAGAATGTTGAAACCATAAAAGGTTTTAATAGCAATAAATATAAAAATAACTTTATCATTAAACAACTTTCAGTGCTCAACTCTAGATTTTTAAATGTTTATTCCACAGTTTTTAATCAAAAAAATCCATCAACAAGTAAAGAAGCGGAATCTTCGGAAGGAGTTCCACAGAGTGAAGAATCAGATGATGGCATATTGTTTAAGACTCATTCATATGATGGCAAAGATCAACCAACCTTGTTACATTGGATACTTGCTCAAGGGAATAAAGCTTCTTTGCAAGATATCTTAGATTACTGTGAAAAAGGATTAGCTTTGGTGAGTTTTACATGCTAAGCTCTTGATCTTATAATATAAATTGAATTATACAAGTATACTTGAGTGTGAATGTTCAATTTTTATTGCCTTTTATGTTAATTTGTTAAAGGGTGTGATTAAAAAGTTACTAATGTTATAATTTTGTCCAAGATCAAAGTTAAACTTTGTATAAATCTCTCTTTATTTGGATAATTTTTTGAGTAAATGAAATTTGACCTATTGATATGTCGTCAATCAATTTTTTACTCAACATATTTTTTGCATATCAATTCTAGATATCTCAGTTCTTAAAATGTTTCATTAGGATTATGAAATTAGGTACATTACACTTTTATCAGGCAATTCACTTTTACTACAAAACTTGTGTATTCAAACTGTTTAAATGTTGTTGAACTTTACAGATGATTTGTGAAGGCTTGAACCAATATTTTAGTCATATTTAGTTTTAATTCTTTATTACAGAGTGTTTCAAATATAAATATGCATGATTCGCGCCATATTGAAATATAGCTGTCATATAATTGACGGGCTCCATAGATCAAACAGATTAAAAATAAAATTAGCTTTTAGTTTTTGGGACTTTTATTTTAAAGGCATGAAATACTGCTTCATTCGAATGAATTAAGTGTGAAATATCTTTGAATTATCTTTAGATCGACGCAGAGCCATTGAAAGAAAGAGAAGCAGAGTTATATCATATACTGGAGTACGCGAATATGCACGGCTTGAAGCAGATTAAGGGCATCGAGGATCGTCTGTATGGATTGGACCAGCTGTTGAGTGAAGTAAAGAAAATTGAACGCGACCAACATGATCAAGCGGCCTCTCTTATACAGGTAATGTAATTTAAAGTAATTGAGATAAGAAACAGGATTTCTTGTAATTCTGCATTTTTAAAAGAAAGAACAATTTCGATTATCCACTAATCGAATTTTACGAAAACAATTGTTTAAATATTATACCTGGATATATTAATTCTAGCTATCCGTGACTCGCGTGGAATAAAAAAAAACTTATTAACATCTTATGTGTTCTTCCAGACTATGTCCTATACTTAATTTCATCCAGATCCATGTAGTCGTTCTGGAGTAATGTGGTAACAAACATCCATCCATCCAAACTTTAATAATATTAGTAAGAAGTAAAAGAGTTAACACTTTTGTGGTAGAAATGTATAGTTTTGTAACATCTGTTAATCGATGTAGTTTATTAAAAAGCTTGCATACTTCCACTGTTTAGGTTTTAAGTGATAGTGTAATATATGTTTTTTAATTACGCTCCAGTACCGTGAGCGTCTGAACGCGGCGTGCGACCCGTCCGTGCTGCCGACGCTGGTGCAGTCCCATTGCTGCCAGCTGGAGAAGCTGCTGAGCGGCCACCAGGTGCTGCTCGACATCCGCCGACGCATCGCCAACTCCAAGGATGAACTCTCACATATACTCAAGGCTAGATTGGAGTTAGTATAAATACTCTTCCACTGGCTTTAACCCGTGATTCCGTCTGCGTGAAATTAAAAATTATTAGTCTATGATTCTTCTAGTTTATGTTCTAAATCTATGACAAATTCCATCTAGATCGGTTTAGCCTTATCGGAGATAACTTCTCATAACTTATACATCTTACTAATATTATAGATATACATGGATGGATGGGTTAATTGTTAGAGTTTGCCGCCTAGACGGCTGTACGTATCTCGATGTACTTTCATACAGATGTAGAGGGTAGTACGGAAGAATACATAGATTACTTACTTTTATTTATTTCCACGCGGTCAAAGTCGTGGACAAAAGATAATTATATTGTACAAGCTGTTGCTCGCGACTTCGTCTGCGTGTAATTGTTTACATACAATAATTCTTAATACAAATCTTTCCTCTTTATAACATTAGTATAGATTAATAGAATATATGTGTAATGTTGGTATGTGTGTGTGTGGCGGCAGGGCGGTGCTGATGATCGAGAACTCGATGTCGGTGCAGGACGCGCACGCGATGCTGTCGTTCCAGTGCTTCAACCGGCTGGCGCGCTACTTCGGCATCGTGGCGCAGCTGCACCACGCGCCCGCCGTCTTCGTGCGCGCCGCACACGAGGTCGCTCGCAGGCGCGCCTTCTCCACCTCGCATCTCAAGGTACACCACTCTCACCATTCGCCACACCACAATAACGCACTCACGACGCTCACTACACTCCACATTCACCCCTCTCACTACACTTACTGCACTCATGACACTCGTCACACTCACCACATCGCACTCACCACACTTACCACACCGCACTCACCACACTTGCCACGAAGCACTTCCCACAATCATCACACTTATCACATTCACAACACGGTTTGGTAAATAATTCAACTTTTACGTTTTCATATTTGACTGCCCTTTTAACCTTAAATACCAACGTTATTGAAAACCCTGAAGTTTAAGTAGACACTAATATTTATAATGATTTTATTCAACAATGTTTCAGTGGGCGACAGATCTGGCGGAGAAGTTACAGAAAATCCACGAAGAAGAAGTGAACCGTCGCCAGGAGTTCAACTCGCTATTCGAGGGGCACTTCCTGAAGAACCTGTTCCCGGGCATGACGGAGCTGCCGCCCGCATACGCCACGCAGGCGCCCGCCGTCTTTGATGCGAGGTTGCCCAACATCAGCGATGAAGATGTCCACCATATATCTGATACCTTCCCAGAGTTGGCTAAGGATGTGCCGCAATACGATATGGAGACCACCGTCAAGTTCTTTCATCAAAGGTTTGGCTTTTTTGTTCTTAATTCTATTTTAAAATTTGCAAATAATTACAATAGCTTAAAAATGACGTTCTCGAAAATCCTTTTATTTTTGCCTGTCTGTTTGTTTGCAAGCTGCGTTTATTATTTCTGGAGCGGATGTTATAGGCAACTTGTTTTAAAAATACTCTCAATTCATTTAATTTTTTATTAATTCGCGCCAACGATGTGAGCGTTCTAAAATAAATAAAAATATTTGATTGCAGTGTATTGATAATTAACTTGCACGTTATTTTCAGGTTGACCGCATCAGATCATGAAGAACGAGACATCGATATTCAAGTTGATCTCGATAAGTATGTTCCATCTATTCTATGCCATAAATACACCTTACTAAAATTCATTTTGCCTTAACACGCTTAACTTGTGCAGGGACTTCGAGTCGGAGACAGAAACTGGTGATTTCGAGAAACTGAGTCGACAAAGCGGTTTGTCGAAGCAAAAGATGGATATGTCGACGACATGCGCGCCCGACACTCTGGCGGTGTCGACGTTAACAGAGGTTCGCAATCTCCCGCTTATATTGGAAACTGACAGTGCACACATAAACGAAGAGTTTGAAAACTCAGAGTTTTATATAGAGGAGTCGCTACCCTCCAGTCTGGATTGGGGACGGCTCCAGCGACAGGTGCACTTTCATTGTTATCAAATACTCCATTCATGTTAGACCGAAATTACCTTTCATCTATACTCTATACTAATATTATAAACAGGAAAGATTTGTATTTTTGTATTTTTGTATGCATTGAAATAACTCAAAAACTGCTAGGCCTAATTCAAAAAATTAAAAAGCTACGTTATTAGTGAGTAACATAGCCTAAAAAAAATTGGTTATGGTTAATACCGTGAAAATAATATACTATCTATTGTTCATGATTCGCCCGCTTAAATTTAAAAATAATAAAAAGATATAGCCTATGTTACTCACTGATAACGTAGCTTTTTAATGGTGTAAGAATTTTTGAAATCTTAATATATACAAATATACATACATTCCTCTTTGTAATAGTAGTATAGATTTAAAGCAAATTAAAATTGGTTTTGATAACAACGTAAATAATATATTTAATTTTAAAAAATCATGGTCTCATCTGGGTGGAGGTTACTAGTTATTTTTCGTTGCTCCTGTCTTCACCGGCCCCATAACAGTTATTTGTATTTTGTTTTGCTTTACGTATATATTGTAGTTTTAGTATTTAGTTATGGCATACGTTAAATTACACATTTTTTAAAGTTGTCATTACTTTCAAGGACAACATGGACACTCATAAAATAAACATCGAAAAACTTCAAGAATTTCTAAGTAAATTATGCAGTCTTTGTAAAGTGAACATAATGTATATAAAAGAGGAATTAGTGAAATTAAAAGTGGAAATCGATGAACAGAAGAAGTACATGTCTGGGAAATATTTGGAAGTTATAAAAGAATGGGACAAGAGTAATTCAGAGTCTGCTATAAGGTTTCGAGAACAGACGCAAAGGTTAACTGTGGATCATGAATTAGAAATGAGCGATATAAAAGCATCTTTAAACGACAAAGATGAATTAATCAATTGCCTTCGAAGAGAAAATGATGAAAATAAATTGCAATATGAAGCGGATTTATTAAGACTTGAAACAGAGTGCCAGAGTTATAAAGCATTAGTTGAGGAAACTAGAGAACAGTTAAAGGAGGTTGCGAAGACTTTAGAAGAGACGGAAGCACAAAAGCAAAAGATGCACTTGGACTTCAAAGCGGAGATAGAAGTGATGCGTTCACGGTAATATTGATGTTACTAAATCTTTTGTAATCTTATTTCAGAAGCATTTGGAGTATTAATCTGTTTTATTTTTAGGTTTAGATTCGTAGCACTCACAAATATGGATAGATCGCCGTCAGAGTCAAGTTTAGAGAAGATCGAGCGCGCTGATGTTATAGAGATCAACAGCCACAACGCAATAGTGATGCAGACGAAGGAAAATGCCGAGGTGGAGAAAGAGGAGGCGGTCAGAGTCGCCGTGGAGAAGTGTAGGGCGGAGTGCGAACAGAAGATTAGTGCAGAAGTCGCATCATTGAAAGCGAAATTTGAAGCTGATAAGCAGGTATAAGAGAAACTCTTAAGACACAATCATTCTAATATTGTAAATGCGAAGGTTTAGATGGATGTTTGTTAGAGTTTTTAGTCTAAACGGCTGAACGAATATCGATTAAATTTGGCATAGAAATAGAGGATAGTCAGATAAAATATAGGGTACTTACTTTTTTAAAATCCCGAGTAAACGGAATCGCGGGCGAAAGTTAGTGTTTACATTAATGTTTTTATCTATTAGCAAAAGTGAATGATACTTTAGGTGACGGTGAACGAGGTGACACGTCGCTTGCTGGCAGAGAAGGACCGGCAGCTGGAGGCGGGCCGCGAGCGCGAGGCGGCGCTGGTGCGGGAGTGCGGCAAGCACCGCGACACCATCCGACAGCTCACCGACCCCGACACCGACACCGCCGACACCTTGCTCAAGACACAGGTGAATAGCACGCACACGTACACGCACAAACACAACGAACACGTACGTAACTACGTACGCACGTACAGTCGCGGAAAACTGCGATTCCACATCAGGAAAAATTGCCTTGTTCATTGCAATGAGACACTCCGTTTCTTACAAAAAACCAATATGTTAGCAGTAAGTGGCCATGTATCACTAATTGACTTTTTTCGTACAGACACTTTTATAATCTGCGTTGTATTGGTTTTATTCCGCGTCTCGTTTCAAAATGTTCAAAACATGTTAGCTTTTAAGGTGAACATTCCCAGTTTTGTCCACTGTACACTCGTCTGTAGTTAACATACTCTTGCCGTCCCGTCGTTAAATAACTTTTCCTATTTCAGCTTTTAGATAATATATAAACCAAATTATATTTCCAGCTTGCGACACTCGAGAACGAGAAAGCGGCACTTCAAACTCAAATTGCGGATCTGAAGAAGGAGCTAGAAAAGAAGAACGATGAGGGAGACAAAAGTAGAGAGGATGACAGTGAAGGAAGGTAAGTTTATACTGAAATAGACATTTGTCAAAGTACTTGTGTTTACTTCGAGGCATCATCATCACCAGATCATTACCCACTGAGGGACTTAGAGCCTATCCTAAGTTAGGAGTGATAAGGTCATAGTCAATAACGGCTCACTATTAGTCGGTTCACTTCACACATATCTTTGAATTTTCCTTTGAATTTGCAGGTTTCCTCACGATGTTTTGCTTTACCGTAAGAACGTCGGGTTAATTATTTACATATGTTCATGGCGGGATTCGAACCCAGGACTTGTCGATTGCAAGTCAAGTGCTTAAATCCCTGAGCCATCAACGCTCTACTTTACTACGAATATTTACTAGTTTTTTTTTAATTTAGTAAATATGTGTTGTGCAGCCGGTCGTCGGGCGTGCGCGAGGAGGGCGCGCGGCGCGGGCGCGCGCGCTGCCACACGCCGTGCGGGCTGGCGGCGGGCGCGCTCAGCCTGTCCTCCTGCCTGCCCGGACACACCGTGCTGCTGCTGTGGGACCCCGCGCACAACAACTACACCGTCATGCAGGTACCTCGACACACCTTACAGTTAACTACATCATTAAGTAACCACTAGTGACCCATCCGAGTATTGTTCTTTTTAAACATCTCATGCTGAGTTGCTGAAGTTTCCATTTATTTTATCATTACCCAGTGATTCATTAGTATTACTTAATTATTTACTGCGTTGGCGCAGCGATCCAAAGTGGATCTTGGCCTCCGACACAAGAGAGCGCTAGCGTCGTCTATCCTGCGTCGCCACGTGGAAGAGCCAAATATCATAAGTGACGCCACAGTCCAGAAACTTTACTAACAAAAGCTAAAAACCACTATCTAGTGACCCAAGATCATCGATGAGTTGCAATGCTCCCCGCTCCCCGCATCCCGCATCCCGCTACAAAATTGTGTTCTGACTAATGACTTTAAAACCAAAGTATATAATACCAACAAAAACTAACATTCCGGCGTATTTAGACGGTTTTTGAAAACACTACGTCTATATTATTTTGGTTTAAATGAAGATTGTATACCAGGAGGCGTCGATGATGTACTTCGTGCACAGCGACTGCCTGCCGGCGCTGGACCTCAGCATCCACGTGAAGAACGAGAGCGAGCGCCGCCTCTACACCGTCGCCACCGTCGACTCCAAGGAATTCTGCTACGCTAAGAAGGTATATTTTATGCTAACCTAGTACCTAGTTGGTATTAAAAGAGTTTATTTTCTTTATGTCAACTTAATGTCATATTACACGTATTGAACGTGCGTCTCCTTCTCCGGTGATTAATGGTAGGCAACGCATCTGTGGATGTGTATGGACAACGGTCGCTTCGCTTTCTCTGCGAATTCAGGTGACCGCTGGCTCGTTTGCCACCTTATAGTATATAAAAAAACGCCCTTTAAACTTTAGTGATTTAAATACCAGATTAGTATTTGTAGACATTTTAACAAATGCTTAATTAAATTTTTGTTGTGTGTAGAACGGCAACCGGTACCAGATGCCGCGCGGGTCGCGCTTCTACCGCGTGCGCGTGCGTCCGCTGCGCCCGCACCTGCCGCCGCCGCCCTGCTGCGACTTGCGCCACCGGCAGGGTACGCCTCCGCACACCATACAACACACCACACAATACCATACAACAACACAAACGTGTCATATTATACCATACATCATACTCTGCCATACAACGTCATACAAACAATTCATACTATACCATACAACGTCATACAAACAATTCATAATATACCATACAACGTCATACAAACATTTCATAATGTACCATACAACGTCATACAAACAATTCATAATATACCATACAACGTCATACAAACAATTCATACTGTACCATACAACGTCATACAAACATTTTATACACCAACATACAACAACATTAACACCTTTTAACACTAGACAAGATCATACAACACCATACAACAGCTATCACAATAGAATTACCTTGTAATTGCTGTAGCTGTTAAATGTTTTAGTTTCAATCACTTAGAGTAGTTGTAAATGTAATACCTAAGGGGTAAAAAACTAAATATGCTTTAGTCCAAAGATTTCGTTTTTTAAACCGGGAGTACCAAATTGTTGCTTGTTTAATATATTTGGCATGCATAGTTTGAAAAAATGATTTAAAGCGTATTTGTTCTTAATCCCTTAAGAAATTCGGGTACTTTCAGCTTTTTGCTTGGCCTAGTTTTTGTAGAAAAAACTACTTCAATTTGCTTTATATCCTTGCTGCATCTCGTACTTGTTCAAAAACACGATTGTCAAGCATCTTTTTTTGTGACTTAACTTTTTCATACAAGTGTCAATAAAATGTATGAAATGCTGCTTGCTATATAATACTTTTGTCTACTACTCTCTGTGTGCGCTTGAAAATTTGTTAACTATGCTTTGATTCAATAGTTACGTTTTTTTATTACGCTTCCACACACATAGGTAGTTATTATTAGGTTGAAATAAAATTAAATGGCCATTAAAAGTTACAAATGATATATTAAAGGTAATATATTTATTTAAAAGGGATTTAAATGTATACATTTTGTCTCATATATTGTTAGCACGTAAAGGCGGGTACACACTAGACCCTATATCGCTTTAGTAACGCACATTCTAGGAATCAAACGGTTCGTTATATTTCCGAATAATCGAATAAGTGTATCTAACGCATATATCAGCGGAATTAGAAAACCGAATGGTTCTTACAGCGGGTACGCACTAGACTTTGTTTTTTTTTTTTTTTTTAAGTAGAAGTACTAAACTATAGTTTATTAAATGAGCAACAATTTTATTTACCTAAGTAAATAAAACTGGATTAAAGGATTTTTTCGTTTATTGTGAGTAATACTGTTTTTAAAACACGCTTCAAATTGCTTAATGTGTACCAGCTTTTAGAATGTGAGTTACTATTGCTTCAGTCGTTAAATGGTAGAATACAGCTTAGTGTATATTTAATACTCAATGTACACTAAGGGTCGTGTTTAGTGTCCAGTTAACGTCTGAGTGCGGTGTGTAGTGTGGTTGTGGGTTGTTAAAGCGAGCTGCGTTGCATTGCAGATGCAATGAAGGGCGGCGTTCTGTCCATGCTCGCTGAGAACAGACCGCTCAAGAAGTGGTTGACCTACATGCATGCTCCAGGTCTTCCGCCTTTATACTTCATACTTCACTATACATCACTCAGTTTGTATAGATTTTGTTATAGTTTCTAATTGTAGATTTAATTCGCACTTATGCTATTACTGTAAATAATTTAAATGTTTGATTTAAAGCTGATTTTAACGATTATTTGTTGGATTAAGTAGTTACTTAATTGAGACAGAAAAATTGTGGATGGATGGCTTAAGGTCTGTTATGGAGGAACCTCGATTGATCAAGGAGTTTCTTGAGTATATTAAATATTGTGGTAGAAAAAAATCAATTAAAACCAAAATATCTGCTATAGAGATGTTTCAATTTCTTCTACAAAGAGATACCGAAATATTTATGCAATAGTTTATTAGTCTCTTTAAGTTGCATCTTGCCAAGTACAAAATCATTTATAGGTATTATAAAAAAACTCAATTTTACAATTATTTTCGTTATATTTAACAGATATTCAAAAATCAGTGGACACAAGTCAGTCAACGAGCTCTAACACGGACGAGGCGTGTCGTGTGGGCGGGGCAGGGGCGGGGGGCGGCGAGGTGGCCACCGCCACTCTCATCAACTTGGAGTCCCCGGTGGCGGATGAGGGCGAGGGTGAGGGGCAGACGGAGGCGGAGGACCAGCTCGACTCCATCGAGGCCAGCGACCAGTGGAACAGCGCCAGGATGCACATGTCTACTGTCAGCGCTGTGTAAGTCACGTTGATGCTTTTTTACTGTGTTTTGACTACTTTTTACTATCTTATCTTACGAATATTTTAAATGCAAAAGTTGGATGAAGATGGATGACAGATGTTTGTTACTAGGTATCTCCAGAATGAGCCCAAAGTGTCTTAATGATATATAATAGTCTGGAAAAACAAATGTAGTTTATTTGTCTATTAAAAAGTGTTATTTATTCTACGCAAAAGCTAGTAAACCTATAAAGCTATCGTATAAGTAATAATCGTTGATAACTTTAGCTTTTGAATTTTGCTTTTCTTGTCTTTAATTGCCCAAGCGAGATTTTATGATTGTTATGATTGATTTGGTGAAATAGGTTTCTATAATGTTTTTTGTTCTATTAAAGTACGGACATGGAGTGCAGCGTGGGGCGCTGCGCCGGCGCGGAGCTGGAGCTGGCGCAGGAGGCGGCGCCCTGACAGCGCGCCACGCCCCCGCGCACCGCCCTCGCCCCCTCACCCGCACCCGCCCCCACACCCATACCTGCGCACACACCCACACCCGAACCCACACCTACATCCGCCCCAACACTCACATCCACACCCGTCCCCACACCCACACCCCCACACAACACCTAGCACATAACAAACACATGACATATGTATAACAGTGAAACTGACAAACTAACTATAAACTCTATAAGCTGCTTCAATTACAGAAGACTGTGTTGCCACAAAATGGAACAAAATTTCCGACAAATTGATTAACATTACACGCTTGATGTCCATGAAGATCACAAAATCTTCATCGTCGATCGTCTTTGAAGCGCATTATATGTCCAAGTTTCACTTAACATATGGAAGTGTTATTCGGTGACTGAAATATATCGTTATGTGATGAGTACAACGCCAATTAGAGATAACCAGTTGTCGGGAGACCGATGATATATCACTAAAATAAGACGGAGCTCTAAATAACTTGAAGAGAACTATATTTTTCAACAGAATATCGAAAATATAAGAATGAAGAATTGACTTTGGATATAAAATGGTAACGTTTTGTAAGGTGAACGGCATGTGACGCGATTTTGTCTTACCTCGAAAATGCGACTTCACTGAAGTGCGACTAGTCGCATTGCGATTGTCGCATTTGTCGAAATAATTTGGGAATAAATATTTTTAAGTATGGTAATGGTACCATCAAAGTGATATACATTGAAAGCAATTGCCTGTTGATGATATTTATAATGAATTGTTCTTATTTATATAGGGCTTGTAATTTTCTAGGGATGGCTCCATTTTAAGCAATCTCTTAAATATTAAATTAGTCTGTATATTAATAATGCAGTTAATATTTTCTTATGCAATTTTCTTGTGAAACTCGTGAATTATATTATAAATTATGAATTTTAATATTTTTAAATGCTGAATGACAAGAAATGTCTTCCACAGCGAAGGTTATAAAAATAGAACATATAATTAGGTGTTGCCATATACAAAATTTACTAAATTCCTTCAAGTCTCTGCTACTATCTTAATCTCCTAATCTAAATCTTAAAACTGCGACATTTTCTTACATATTCCTTAATAATTTAATAAAAATTACGTTTTATTTTGTGACTAATTAGTGTGTATATTCGTTTGAAATATTTTTTAAAGTCATGATTTCTGAGTAGTACAAATTTTTATTTAATATTCAAGAAATTATTTTATATGTATATTTTATAATACGAAAATTACACTTATTTAATATTTTAGTGAATTTTTGTGTTGTGTTTTTTTTAATTTGTTAACTAAATGTATTTGTGTGTCAAATCGATTTGTAAGTCTCGTATTTAGTACACGTTGCACAAAATTAATAGATAACATATAGTCTAGATATTTGTTTAAACATAGAGTATTTGAGATAAAAAGTATATTTAAATGACTCTTTCAAACTCTTTCTATCCATTAAGTCGAATAGCTTGATAACTTATCTAATATCTAAGTCATAGAAGTTACTAGACGCGTATATTCTTCGAGTTAAAGGTTGCTTGTTATACCTACGGTTGGTACGTTATGCGTAAACGCCGCGGGACAACGATGGGTGTACTAAGTGATATTTTTTTTTATCTGAGGACGCGTTAGGCTATACACTATGCAGGACACAATGACGCTTATATAGATCGATCTCCTTCAGTTATACAACGTTTTAAACTCTTTAAATCTGGCACTTTAGGTATAGGGTTTAGGTGTTAAGTATATCACCGTGTCTCGTGTAACGCACGTGTTGTTATGTACTCGATGTGGGCATTGCTTCATGTTGTAATTTGTTTGTGGCCTTATTGTGGCGCCCGCCGGAATGTCATCTCGAGTTTAGTGTACAGTCAGCGCTTTATAAGTGAAACCTTAGGGTCCGTAAACGTAAAATTGAATTATTTATTATCAACAGCAAGTGTAATCTTTTTAATATGAAACAATATGAGGAGCCGACGAGGAAAAATAAAAAGTGTTCTTCCACTCGGTCTATGTGAAGCGTATAGTTAATGCCGGTCTTTGTGAATGTAAGAACGCCGTCCGTTTCCTTTCATCCTGGTTTATCTGTACGGAACCTTATAAAGTACTCAAATTCACTTTTTATTTTTATTTCTTCACTCGAAACTGTAAATTTTATTTTTACTTGTCTAATCTGAAAGTGCTTTTTTATATTTGTTTAAGTATAGTTTATCGCGTGTCATCGAATCCTAAAATGTCATTTTAGTCCACTTATTTACCGCTGACTGTACGTTAAGAAGTGCGTAGTATTGTACCCTGTGTTGGGACATAGTTGGGGTTTGCCGACTGCTGTGATAATAATTGCTGTGCACTCCTCGACCCTTGATTTAACATGAACTTAAACAAAGGCATTTTGAATCACGTTTTCGAATCGGGCTACGAAAATTTTAATATAAGCTTTTTAACGTTTATCATGTATGTAAGTCTTGACGTACGACGGAAATAGTTACATATTTTGATAATTGTTCTAATGAAAAGAGTTACATCTGTTACAAGTGTTAAGAGATTCGTAAGATTTACATTTCTCAATATGTGACTTTTTTCGTCGTTCAACTCGAAATGTGTTCGATGGCAAGTGTCCTCACAAGGAGTAAATTGTTTGTTGATATCACATAAGAAATAATAATCCGTTATAGTAGTAATTAGAAGTACTAAAAAGAAAGTGATAAGTTAGCTTATAAAAAGATTTTATCCATACAAGTTGTAAGAGCGGTTAGGAAACTCGTCTAAGGTAAGGTTTCGGTTGTAACGATGATTTTATTCAATATGTTTGTGAAATCTAAACCATATTGTTATGTATTTAAGATTGTTTACTTTGATTGTATTTTTTATAATTGACTACAAATGGAAAATTAAATATTTTCTGTTTTTAGTAATCGAATGTGAAAATGATACTCGGAGGGGAGTTAACATATTTTTGTATAAAACTCCATATCTTGTTATATTTACTATACTTTTATGTTATTTCATTTTCGTGGAGAGTTTTTGTTTGTTTGTTTGGAATGTTTTCGGCGATCGCAATATAATGCATAATAAATTTTTAATGTGTGATCGCTTTACAGACTATTTTGTAGTGACCAATTTTATCGTTAGAAATAAAAAAAAAATGTAAAATTGACAATTTTAATGTAATTTTTATATACAATAAATAGACGATTTTGTAAAAAAATCTTGTTTTTTATTCACTGACCTAGTTACCTGTCAACACGACGACACAAACCTCTTTGAAACCTAGTCTCTAAACACTTAACCTATGGAATGTACAAATTATCCAATGATCAAAATATTTACAATTTACATAACGCTATTTACATTGATGGTAAGGAACAAAAAACAACAGTTTATCTACTGAGAGTCTAAAGGGTCGGAGCTTCCGACACCTATCACGTTTAAAACTCTCGAATCGCTGTCACTTAGAAAACTTAAGTCACTTAGAAAACCTTGTTAAAAGATCTACTCAAGTTGATTATTAGTAACATTATAATAGACCACCAAAATTGTTAACTCCTTGACTATGTTGGACATCGAAGTGAGACGCAAACGCGCAGTCCGAGTACTGCCAGGACTGCATCTCCATGTTGGTCTGTGCGCAGTCTTGGCCGTATCTATAGAAGCGTTGTTCCTGCATATCCATGACAGGGGATTCCCGGCAGCCTTCAGTCGGATAGTACTGTGCCTCTTCTGGATAGTACATTTGGTGCGGGTAGGTCTGCTGTTCACAGAACGCCTCGGGATGCTGGTAGTTGCCGAAAAGCTCCGGCGAAGGCGTCTCGCTTGACTCTGAGCCTCCCGCAGCCCTCTGCCAGTCCATCCAGTACGCGTCTTCTGGTCTAGAGTTGTCATTGTTAAGATCTGCGAAAGTAGGTGGCGATTCTAGGGTAGTTTCTTCCATAGGAAAGTCAAGCCTTATTGGTTGGTCTAGTTGAAAGATTTCCTCTGGATGGAATATATCGTCAGCGGGTAAGGAGGTATCGTATGTCTGCTGCTGGAGCGTGGGCGCGGGCGGCGCGGGCGCTGGGTAGGAAGCGTAGGCTTGGGACTCCGAGGGCCACGTGTTAGCGACATACGGTTCGACCGGCACCTCCGCCCGCCATCGGCATGTGCACTCGAAAGGACCGCATGCACATGTTAAAACTGTTGGAAAATAATTGTAAAATTTAGAGAAATTGCATAAAGGGACACTAAAACATGTTCCAATTAAGCATGACTCTATACAACATTGAAAAAGTAAAAATGTAGATTATCCTCACCTCTTTGATTGTCAGGTATTAGCGGCGGCGGCTGTAGATGCGTGGTGTTCACAATCTTCTGTGGCATTTGTTTCTCTGGTTTCCCTGTCAGTAGTTTGTCAGCAATAGCCGCCTCCCGCGCTAGCAGCAGTGCCAGACCTCGCACTCGTCTCCCTGCGCCGATTGATCTCCGCACTTCGCTCGCCCCTTTGGCCTCAGGCCGGGGGTGGTCGTGCGCACCTTTTGCTTGAAAGAATATCGCATGCTCCGTGTGCCGCCAGAAGTGTGTCACTGGGTAACCGCAATGGCCGCGGCAAGGCTGGACTTCGAGACGACCGCCGTTGCATAGTCGGTTCGGACACGGTTTACCTGTTAAAATTACAAAAACATAAATACTAATTGGAGATGTCGTGTAACAGAACTGTATGTAATGTCTGGGCACAAATTATGATGATGGAAATGGTGAAAATCGTCGTCTAAAAAATACCTTGTTGTTTTTTCCGTGCTTTATCACATATGGCCGGTCTAAGATGCACCCTCGAGCCGTCCGGCAGCCGACATCTAGCGGAGCAGACGAGCACACCGAGACAGCTCTTCTTGAGTATGTGGACGTTATGGTTGTTGGTATTGCGCATTGCCCAGCCGGAGGCGTGTCGGCGCGCCTCCTCGCAGCCGGGCGGGTAGACGCGGCGCACATGACCGTCGCACCACTCCCCAAAGCTGTCGAAGCTGCTCACCCGCGGCACCACCGCGTCGTTGATGTCCCACTCCGATTGGCCCTCTGACATCTCCGACCGGCCGCTGTCACAGACCGACAATTAGTATTTGGATATTTTGAACAAGCTTTGTAAGTTACAGAGTAAGCGGTAATAAGCTAAGTTTTCACTTATCGCAAGCTTTTGAATAATTATTATTTTATAAAATCTTCAAAATGTTTTTTGTTTAAAGTTCAAATATGTGAATAAGCAATAAAGTGATTGCTAATACAAAATCGTACAAGTTATAAAATAAGGGAATTGAGGAACGCAATAAGGCTCATGTTACAGCACTATTGTTATTTGCGTACACCACCTAACATCAAACACAATCTACAATCAAATATAATAAACGTATTGGCTCTTCAATGTAAAAGTATTAATTTCTTTATTAATATTATCCTTGGTCTGACTTATCTGGAAATTAATGAAACAGAATGTATGTAGAGAAAGTTTTGGTGTTCCCCTCGACGGGTTGATTGAGCCAATTGCTTCAAAATTGCCTCCAGAAGGGGCGGCCGCGGTTTAATTGGTTAAATAACTTTGTAAAAAGCGATCGCCATGAGATGGGGTGAATTTTAGCGATAAGATAAAGCAGTTACGATGCTGAACTTGAAAATTGTTTTATAAAATAATTTTGAGACAAACGTTTTACGAGAATATACTCGTATATTTGCTTAAAACGGTTTAATCAAAATTTTATGTAGTTTCTATCAAAGTTATTAAATGATTTCTTTACTTATGATCATATTCAATATTTCACTTTAAACCAATAATTATTCCATTCATATCTTTAGTGAATTCCGTAATTTATGGCGGTGCCTGTGGATTTACTGCAAATCTCATTGAAAATAATCTAGAAACAACATTGTACTAAAAACAAGATTTAAAGCCCGTTCGCAGTCAGTAATAGCGCGTTTGAAACTAATCCACCATTAGAAAAAGATTATCGGATTACTTTACAGGAGCTAAAATTGTCAGATAACGTTTTAAAATGTAACATGGATCTTATTCTTGGGAAACACGAAACACAAGTTACATGAGAATATGATGAACATTTTATGTTACAATAATTTTATTAGCTTAGATATGTGTGAAGGGCGCAGACGCAGGGCGCGGGACGGGGGCAAGGCAGCCAACGAGTCTCAATTAGCTTCAATTGGCGTCCCTCCATCACCTTCCACAACCCTCCTCTGTTTGCCCACTTTAACATATTTGACACGGAATTAAACCACAATGACGAACATGTTGTGTTATTTGGTTAGTCACTTGTGTTCCAGTTAGTTCCTTTTGACCTTTTAATATTTGAACAGTGGGTAACTTGGAACCGCATCCGAAAGTTGAATGGTATAATGTGTTAAGTTACAGTTGGTTTAGTTAAGACAGTGGTGTGTAAGCATAACTTTAATTTTCTTTAGATTTATCAATGTAATAAATTTATTTCACATAAGTCAATATATGAGTAATTTTCAGTTTTCCCTTATTTAGTGCTAACTTTCGCCTGTGACTCCGTCCGCGTGGAATTAAAAAATACAAAAGTGAATAGCATGTGTCCTTCCAGACTATCTTCTACATCTATGCCTAATTTCAAAGAGATTCGTTTAGCCGTTTAGGCTACAGACTAACAAACATCTATCCATCCAACTAAACTTTCGCATTCATAATATTAAGTAAGATTTTAGACATTATTATATTGAGAGGAGGGTAATGTATTTCGCGGTACACAAATATGATGGCAATACCGACATGAACGTAACTTGATCGATTTTAAACTATAAGATATCATTCGCATTGTATCCTTGCTTTGATTAGACTTAATTAGGCGCAAAATATTGAGTTACTCAGCGTTATAGGCTCAAATGATTCCTCTAAGAATTAAAATCTAACCGTTTGTAATTTAATTGATCTAACGCAAATTATTGGATGATATTGGCTTGATCATTTACTGAAAACTGTAAGGAGGTAATTAATTTCTTTACGTTTATTTCTGAAGTCCGAGGTTATAATCTTTTTGATAAAGTACATTGTAATTAAAAAGAGAGACTTATACAAGTATTAAATAAGTGTACAGATATACCTTCACTTCTAGTAGTCTCCAATATCATAGTTAGATTTCGCTAGTGAGAATCTGAATTACAAACATAACTTCAACCATTTTGATTTTATTGCAAGAATCTAAAAAAAATTGTCTCCATATCTATTGCATTAAACGCCAATACGTTTATTACATTTTTATTACAAAAATTAAAATAAAAATAGGCTTTTAAGAAATAAGATACATTATAAAACTTATTACTTACAGGATCACCATCTCCGATATAGTTATACAGGCTACACAATCACTATGTTCTATACAAACACCAAGTTCACAAGCACTTTATTGTACGTAGTTAAATAACGATTTATCCTTTGTAAAACACATCTACCCACGTCGAAAGCTTATAGCTCACTGACTTTAACAACAAAAATAAACATGGGGATGTTTCGCCCCACTCGCGAGCGGTGGTGTGTCCCCACGAACCAATGAGCCCGGCTCTTACATCCGACGCCGCCTCCCAACCAATCAGAAGTTCGTACAAGCCGACCAATAGCAATGTTGATAGACGTTTTTTTTATTTTCAGGAAGGTGGCAAAAGGTATTTTTTACAGCGACATACAAAGTTAACGTCCTTTAATTCGTAAGTGTATTGTGACTACATGAAGGTAACTTATATTTGGTAAATCAATGTAATTTTCATAAATGAACACACGTTACTTTTTAGACGTAGAAAGAGATGGATGGATTGCGTGAAAGGTGACATGATCAAGAAGGGAGTGATGACTGAGATGACGGATGATAGAGTGCTTTGGAGGACGAAAACCCGGTGCGCCGACCTTACGGGAGTAGGATAAGGCAGGGGAGATGATGATGATGATGATGAATACACGTTACTTTTTGTCAGCCTAAGTTTTTAATTGTTACAATCTTCAGGCTATGTTAGGACTAGACTACTTTCGCGGAAGAAAGAAGCACAAGCCACTGGCGGGCAGAAGGAACACCGCTGGGTTTTAAGTGGGTATTCCGGCCATCTTTCATCCTCGGCCGGCGAGTCCCACATACCCCCCTGGTAACGGGGGGGATACGTAAATGCATTTTCCCAGCGAGAAAAAAAAAGGACCAGACTACTTAGTAGATTAATGATTGCATTCAAGTTCTGTAAGTTACCGATGTAAGATAATCCGCTCTGCTATCTTCCGAAAACAGATTACGTCCGACGTAAAAGATTATGTAGGTTTACAAATACTTAAAATATTCATGCATAAAACACCGTCCGGTCAAAATCGGTCCAGCCATTCGAAGATTACTCGGAACACGGCCTTGTAGATAGACACGAATATTATCACACTCTGTTTAAAATCCTGGAATAAAGTAGCGAAGACGAAAAATTGCATTTTCATATCGCAACTTTGATATAAAGGAAACTTGTTTTATCGTTTTTTTTTCGTAAATTCGCATTCTGTTTTTTGAGTAATACATCTATGTACCTTGTTAACTCTTAAGTCTTGATCAGTTTATATCCTCAGTCTTTGTACCTATGAATAAATAGGTATCTACTTTATACAGATTCTGTAAACTGTTTAACATTTAGTAAGGATTCTATACGATAATTACAGTATTTATACTCGTATATAAATAATGCCTAAGTGCTATTAAGAAATACGTTACGTATACGTTTAAAAAATCAATATTCGTAGTGATTCTGTTAGTGGATTCACACGGTGCGCACGCGCCTGCTAACGGTGTGAGGCGCCCGCATCGCGCACCCTTACCACTCGGCCTACATACAAGTACTACAATATATAGTTAACGATAATTCGTTTGTATAATTAAAAATATACGATATAATTGAACAAGAAACTATAATACCACTAAAGTGAAAAGATACTTAAGTCTTAAGCTTTTGTTGTAGATCGTTGGAGGCGGCACTTAGCTGTTTAACACATACGTTAACAAATTGCTCATTCCTTGACATCATCTCCGTGTTACTAACTTACTTTAATGGTTAGTTTCGGTACATAATATCAAATGAAGTTTTGTGATGATACTTTTTAGCCCAATTAAGATATCATTCAGTACAATTATACGCACTTGTAGGAAGGTTTACTCAAAGAGATTGTGGCGTATGAAAATATTTTATAAAAATTTGACAACACTTTTACTTAATGATTGCTTAATAATTTGACAACGGACTTATTTTGCTGAAGAAGGTGAACGGATCCCGACATGGGGTATCTAATCCTGAGCTAATAGGTTTAAATATTTTGCCCAGCTTAGACTCAGTTTCACGTTTGTTATGAAAAGACATTGTAATCCCACGCTAATACCATTTAGGTAAGAGCCGCGTGTTTGTACACTATTCATAACATCCGTTTCATTTCTGTTTTCAAGACATTTGTAACCAGCCTATAATCCTATTACGATAAATATTTTAGACTATTAAATTCATCTTTATTCCCTTATTGTTAACAACAAATTCGGCTGAGAATTATTTATTCTGGCTCAGTTATACGGCTGTTTCTAGTTGTCCAAAAATTTTCAATTTAATTCCTCAGCTTTATAATGTAGCCTGTAGAATTGTGTTTCTATGCTAAAATGAAATAATAGATGGCTTATTTGCTTCACTAAGTATCGCACTTAAAGTGCGGTGTTGTAGGCTGGGGCTTAGGTCCACGATTGGCGCAGGGCGTCGCCCCCCGTAACGTGGTCAATTGACGCCCCGGCTGCCACGCCGCCGCGCCAACAATTTGCGCTCACGACCACGCCGACACACCGGAACCTTTCAATTCGCTAAATCGATTATTCTATTGGGATACGATGTACGTTCGCATTCGAATTCTTAAACGAACTCTACTGTTTTACTCTCAATAAGAAAGAACCTTAGTGTTAATTTATCGTACTGAATGTTCTACGGTAACCATTTACATTGCATTACATATTTAAGGCAAACTTACTGTGGTATTTAATCTGGAAGAGATACTTGTAGAGGTAAATTATTGCAAAGACGAGGGAATTTGTTATTGATTTAGTGATGACTGTATTCTAGCATACGCTATCATACTAATATTATAAATGTGAAAGTTTAGATGAATGGGTGAATGGATGTTTGTTAGAGTTTGTAGACTAAACGGCTGAACGAATTTCGATGAAATTTAGTACAGATGTAGAAGATAGTGTGGAAGAACACATAGGTTACTCACTTTTGTTTTTTTTAATACCAAGCTAGTGGTAAATAACATTCAACTTAATAAAATTCCTGCAATATAAATTGGTAGCAAACGATAAAAAGTCGTACCAAACATGAGTTTAATAGTATCTACTAATGTAAGTTACAACAATGTAACTTGTAACTCGAAACTTGCGACTTCTTGGCGTAGCCTACCGTAGATCTTTGGGCCGTCTCTACATTGTAACATACACAATAGTTGTATAATAAAGTGAATAATGGTTACAATGTGTAGTTATTTTAATGAGTTAGTTTATAATTAAAAGTAAAGATAGCCTTGTCTTGTAGAATGTTTCTGAAACTTTTCCATTGGCGAAGTCTTTAGTTCTCCGATATTTTTTTTTACCATTACTTTTCAGCTTAAACACTTTTACTTAATGATTGCTTACTTCTACAATTGATTGCAGACAGCGTTTTAAAGTGCGGAAGTTTTTAGGTCCGGGAACCAATTATGTTTTTTTTAAATCAATTTCACGTGAAAAAATTTAAATGAGTCACTTAACATTATGACATGACCCTTGCTTTATGTAGAGTGATAAATCACGAAATTCTTGTACATTTAAAACATATAACTTTTTATTCAGAGGAGGCAAAGGGATAGGACAAAAATAAATAGTAAAATTGTAGAGAAGTGCGCTAAGTCGTTAGCAAACAGTGGATCAAAGCGACACATGGCGCTCGCGGACACTTTCTCACAGTCGACGGAGACACGTGCCTACTGAGGACTGTCGACGATCTCCTCCAGATGTACACAACTTTGTTCTTTCTTTATTTTACTTGTAATTGATTCCATTCTTATATATTTTCAACCATTTAAAGATAAACCAAACACATTTAAGCCGCTTAGTAATTAACGATGGCATTGAAATCTGTTTCATTACTATTTTTAGTTACACTGGTTAATGTTTAAACTAACTATACCTGGTTGTACACACAAGCGTCCGATACTATTCACAGATCAAGCCCAGGTCGTGATCTGTCTCTGACAAGTGAGATAACCCGTCCCCGAATCTCCATATCTATCTCGATTGAATCCGACCCCCGCCCTACGTTCCGCGCGACCGGCTCAAACAAAGCATCGAATTAAACAAAATCCGCAGACAATCGCGTTCCGATGAACAGCGACATGAAAGAGAGTTAATCAAACAACTATTTCGAAGCGGCCGAACAAATACACCCCCGCACAACTGTCACCAAACAAACACGTCGGTGATCGACCTGGCCCTTAATCCCACTGTAACTAATCCTATAGTTGGGAAATGCGCAATTCCAGTGACTTGTAGAATACGTCAGCTTTGCCGGGTGTGATATCTAAAGTTATTTGGGGCTTTTGTAATGATATCAATTTCTTTTGCACTTTTAAGAGTATATTCGATTCGAATTAGAATTAATTGTTCAATGATGATCATATTCTATTTGATCACGAATGGGGTAAGTTAATCGTTTTGTAACGCTCGCACTTTTTTTTTTCTTTACGAAAAAAGTACTCTGGAATTCCATGTTGTCACTTTAGTGATGTCCATGATCCATAATCGAACCATCTCGTACGTGGAACATTCCGCGCCTGCGCCAGTGTCACTCTACCATTGGTTAAAATTTGAATTGCAAATATTGAAAAACAGTTTGTATTATCATTATTAAACGATGTGGTAATTTCCATTAGCAGCGTTTTTCCTTTATCGATTCATTTATATTTCCATTGTATTCTAAAAATGTTCAACACATTAAAAGCGTATGCAGAAAAAAAAATGTACCTTGAAATTGATAGCAAATAAAAAGGCAAGGTGAAAACTGACAATCTAAATAGTTATATGTTGTGAAAAGCCGTGTGTTCGTCGCTAATTTATTGTCGTCCGTTATCGGAGCGATGCGGGCGCGCGTGCGCCGCCCGGCCTCCGCGCCACCGCGCCTCCGCCGCCGCCTGCTTGCCATGCAGCGCCGCGCACAGCCACGCCGCACCCCGCACCCCGCTCCCTGCGCGCCGCACGCGACTGCACACTGCCAATAAACTTTTTTGTATTCCAAATTTAAACTTTTGAAATTTTTATTTTTACTTTTTGTTGTTGTTTTTTTTTCATCATAATCTTTGTATGTGGCCAAGATTATTCGAGATTTATTAGGTCTTTTGTATGGCTTGACTATAAACGAACCCTTTTGGTGAATTTTTCCTC